CAGAAAAAAAAAAAAAAAAAAACAAGGACAAAGAACATTAATATCTTTTTGGGATTATTTTATTTTATTTTTTAACATATTTATCAAATTTATTTTTTTATTATTTTAAAAAATAAAATTATTTTAAGTAATTTAAGTATTAAAAAAAATATCAGAATCATGCAGTATCATGTTGGACACGGATCATCACCACCACTACTGATCACCACCACTGTTAATGAGCCCAATCAAGTTGAATATTTTTCGAATGAAGCTAACCTTCTTTAGTTCTTATATAGCTCAACTCGAGCTCATTTATTGAGTTTGAATGAGACTCATGTGAACATTATTAGGCTCGAGCTCAGCTCTATTACATGACCTTGTTAGGAAGGCTTGAGCTTGACTCGAGAAATACTTAAAAATATTTATTATAAATTTGATAAACTCGACTCGTGAGCTCGCCAACAAGTCGAGTTCAAGCTGGCTCTTATGCCAGTTCTGATCCCTTACATCCCTTATTTATTTATTTTGGGGGCATTTATGCCAATTAAGTCAAATAGACATGCACATTACTTACGTAAAATTCAAATCCAAAATCTCGATCTTAGCTGATAGTCAAAGTTCTCAGCCAACAAATCAAGACGAGCCATGTTACATTTCAATGAGAAATTATCATGTGCGGCATCCGAACTAGAAGAACTGTCCGGACTGTAAGTGAACACAATGTGTGTATACGTACAGTGTCTTCACTGATTTGACATATACTGTGTATAAATATATACACATTATATATATTCACATATCCGAATGATTTAGCTATGGAGGTTTATTAATAAAGGTTTTTAGTTAGTAGACAAACGCCGATCTATCAATATAAAATTCTCCACTTACTTTGATGAATGGTGGGAGCGGTGGGGATATCACTTCTCCAACTTTCTCTTAAGTGCTTATTGAGATGCAGTGGATCTTAGCCAGCTTGGCCCCGTTTGGGAGAGCTTTCAGCCCTTTTCCTGCTTTCTAACGTAGCAAGTACTCTTTCTGTGATTATTAAGTAATTAGTCGGTAATAATCATTTTTTAATTATTTAACTAAGGGGATTAGTAGGTAATAATCATAAGATTTATTTAATTATTGCTTTCGGTTTGGTCTGATGTGTTTGTTAAAGGGAGCTTAGAGTTCTTTTGACCTTCTTGCTGTTTTTTAAAGCAGCTTTTTAGCATAAAACTTTTTGAACAAAAAATTTGTGTCCTAAAAAATAATTAGAAAGCTGTCTCAAACAAAACCTTAGTCAACTTTGTTCATTGTCATTTGGACTTGTCTTGGCCTTATAGTCGATTGATTTTGTCAACTTTGTTGAATTTGAGGATAATTATGTGACAGTAGTCGAGAGACTGCATTGTAGTTGAGCGACAATAGTCAATAGTCCATTGTCAAACCACGTTCAGGGCGGAACTAGCCTTAATTTTCACATGTCACGAACGTCCTCATACAGGCTACCGCTTATAATATGGTCGCTTGCTTATCAATTGTAACATTTGTCCCATCTCGATCTCTTCATGTTGAGCTTTGCCCCGATAGCACCAAGATCTTAGTAGTGCGATTTTGTACCTTAAGCTTATTTGCAACTTTGATAGAAACTAATGTGGAGCTTATCAAGATGATTGGTCACTATAGTGTTCATGCATGAACAAATGAGAATATGTAAAACATGGATAATTATGGATTTACAAATTTTTAGGAGTATATTAATCCCATCAATAATAAAATTACATATACTATAGAGTACATGACAAAAGGTTTTGTTAAAGGATATTCACACAAATAAAATAATGTAGGAGATGTTTGTCTAAATCTATATAGGATGAGAGAAAAAAAAAGGGTAAAATTTATTTTAGCTTTTATATATTGAATTTCTCTTATACATAATCTATCACATCAAGTATTTGTAAAAAATATTTAACTTTTATAAATATGAAAATATTGCATCATTTATATATGATGTATACATCATCAAAAACATTTTTATGATCGGATATGAATCTTGAGGCAAAATCAAATTGAAAACTTTCAAACTTAAAATTGGGATCATCTGAACTCTGATTTCAGAAAACTTACAGTCGAACTGAACGTCTCGTGAATACGAACCCAACGACACCAAATTCGACTCAATCTGAGCCCAAATGAGTCCAAATCAAGGCTCCGGAGCGTCATTGGAAGGTTCAAACCACAATTTGGATTACCAAATGATTTTCAAACGTGACATCTATAATCGAATCGAGCGGCTCGAAGAGACAAATCCAACAAACCCAAGATCAGGGAATTCAAACACCATTATGACCTCCACATATCTTGCGAACGATCCACGATTAAGGAATTCAACAATGGTCGTCCATCCAAACCGCTTCCCATTTACCCTTAATCTTAGGTCATCTCCAAATGAACGTCATTATCTAATTTACAGTAGCAGGGAGAGTCCAACCGAATGAAAATTTTTCATTTTGAACAATGCGACCTCAATATTGAGGTCACACTTCTCACAACACAAAGAAAATACAAAATACATTTCTGTTTGGCAGTCAGGTGGAGATTCACGACAACCGTAAAAATATTTTAGACAATCACAAATGACGTTTGGTTCGGTTGGAAATACCCTTCCTTAGCTAATAAATTTTACAAATTCTAATTAAAATTATTAACTGCTTTTTTTTTTTGGAAAAAAAAAATATTTATACTTTAAATTTATATTTCCATACTTAAAATAAAAAAAGCTACAAATATCCAAAAATTCAAAAAAGAACAAAAAGGCCGGTCCTTCCGAGTCATAAGAAACTCTCCCCACATGATATCTTTACCCTAAAATTCTCCCAATGTCAAATATCAGCCGTTCGATTAAATCCCCATAGCAGGACCATTCATAGAAACAGCATAATCATTGCGTGTGAATAACGGGGCGGCGTCGCTTTATAACCCATTAAAAAAGGATATTTTTTCTTTCCTTCAATTACCATAAATACGCGCTCTTTTTCAGAAATTATCGACCGAATCCGATCGGATTCGAAAAAAAATTTCATCTTGCAAAGCTTATCGATCGGAATTACAGTCTCCCATGGCAATTGTTAGGTAATCTCTCGCTTCTCTCACCTACTCCACTTGTTCTTAAACCCTCTGTGTTTAGTTGCTAGGACTTTGTGAGAAGGAAATGTAAAAAGAGGTTGAAAAGCTTTAATCAGTGGTGGTAAATGCATAATCTACTAATAAATTGATGAAATTTCGTTGATAATTTCCGCTTTCCGTCAATCCAAACAAAGAAGGGAGAAAGCAGTGGTGTTTGCGTTATGGATGGGCTATACTTTCCTGTTGATGCGCAATAGTGATTTTTCCTCTTTATTTTGTTTTTTCGATTCGCAATGTCTACCTGTTCGTGAAAAGAACAGATCTTCAAGGACTAGATGTATATTTTTCTTATTTTGTTTTGGATTTATTTGGGTATTTTCTCGTTTTTTTTGGCCCGAAGCATTTTGATTGGAATTGGAGTATTTTTCTGACTTTTCTTAAGGTCTCTCCTTAACTTTTGCGTGACTGGCAGAATTGTATGGGTCTTGTTTTTTCTCTAAATGATTGCTTTCTGTTCTTATTTAGCAATAAGATTATATGGTTTTTGAAAGTTTCTCTATGCTAAACGGATAAATTCACGCTTTTTATAACGGTTGTTCTGTGTTTTTATCAGTTTTAAGCTGCTGCATTAGTAGATAGTTGCTGAAGGGATTGGTTGATGAAGGGAACAGAGCAAGGGTTATGGGCGGTTTGTGCAGCTGTTTTCATTCTTCGGATGATGAGGAACAAGAACGTGCAGGATCTGCGGAATTTATGTCTGGAAACGGAACATCCTCTCATTGCTTTCAGTTTTTGATGGCGGTATGTTACATGTAAATGCAAGTTTGCTTAATTCTAGGATGAAATATGAGGGAAAATAAATGGCTCTCCTTTATCCTTATCTCCTTGAAGGCTGGGAGATTATCGAGGCCTTATAGATGAAATGTTGACTCTTTTTGCTAGTTGGAAAGCTAGGTTGCTATCATTTGTTGGTATACTTCAAATTATCAAAAATTTCATATGGAATATGTTTGTCTATTGTGTTAAATCTCTCTGTATTCTCAAGTATATCATCAAGAGATTGATAGGCTCTACTTCATATTTCTTTATGATAGTAACAATGAGACCACCTTCGATCCTAAATGCAAATAGGGACTTGAAATTTGCTCATTCATCTTGAATCATACTTGCAAAGCTAGACTAATTTGGAACTTGTTACATTGTGAAAGCATTTTCAACTGTTAGTGGAAATTTAACATTTGGCTCAAACCTCCGCCTCCCCTCATTCTTCTTACTTGTGGAAGTAACTCTTTATTATTGCTAATAATATCATTTCCAGTCACTATCTTCATTGTTAATGATAACTCATTCTCCTTATTTAATGATTTTCGGGTGCATGGTAAGAGCCTAAGGAAGTTATTTGGGCACCTTACTGGTGCCTACCTCCCTCATCAGACCAATGCTCTAGAGTCTAGAAATGTTGTAAGTACTAACAACACCTGCGATGCTAGACTAATTTTGAATTGTTATGCTATAAAAAGCACTTCCAGGTTAGACTAATTTTGAATTGTTATGCTATAAAAAGCACTTCCAGCAGCTGGTGGAAATTTAGTTATAATGATATTTTGATCAATCCTCCCCTTGATTCTTCGTACTTGTGGAAGAAATGTTTTATTATTGCTAACAAGATCAAATATGCACTCACTATCTTTATTGAGAATGATAACTCATTTTTCTTATTTTATAATTTCATTTTGTATGATAAGATCCTATTGAAGTTTTTTGGCCACGTTGCTCATGCCTACCTTCCCCCCTCCTTGCGTATATATAGAATTATGGTTTGCATAAACTATGATACTAGAATGATTATCTATTCTAGGATAAGAAACCAACGCCCAACTTAAAAAATTCCTAAGTTCATTCTACTCACATATTTTGGATTTATGATGGGAAAATTGGGTTTGATATAAGTATGTCACTCGATTATGTATTTATGGTTGAATAGCCGTAAACTCAAAACCATTAACACTCTCATTAAAAGGATCATTATGGTTTCATCACTTGTCATATTTTCTTTGATTTTCCTTTCTCTTTTAGCCTAATGAACTCAACCTTCTTATTAGGAACTTTCTATTGTGCCCTTTATTCTCCTAGGCCCTAGCTACTGGAGTTTGGGCCAATAATGTCTGTTGCAAATCATCGCATGCATAATGGTTCCAACTATGTTTTTGTATCCATCTACAAACATCCTATCATCATCATTTGACGATGAATTATCCTTGACTAGCTTATATGTGGAGCAGATAGTGCTAGAATAACTTTTGAATATTGCATTTCAAATCTCTTTAGCATCCTTTTCAAGTGTGAATTTTGGTATATATATAGTTCTTTAAAAAATTGTTTCTCTTTATCTCCATGCCGAAACTTTTCTTTTTATGACCCATGTTGTCTAGTTCAAACTTAACTTGAAGCATTCTCTTAACTTCTGATATTTGAACTGAGCTCTGCACAAGAAGGTTCCCACAAATCTAAATGAATGTCGTCAAGAACTCCATTTGTAAAGTGTATGAAAAATCTAAATTTGGGTATATTTGCCTTCGCTGTACCACAATTTTCACAAAAATCCATGATTCTCAATCTTGTCACTACATAAAAAACCTTTTCTTTTAATCTCCTAAAGCCCTTTTTTGATTTATGCGGCCAAGTTTTTATGCAATAATTGGGTTGCATTTTCTGAGTTAATAATTACATTAATTGATCATTCGACGATTGTTCTTCAAATTCTGTTCATTAAAACAAATGAGCTCTTGTATATTCTTGAGTTCCTACCATCACTCTTTATGCATAATCATATATGTTTAGAATTCTTAATGAAATTAATCTTATCTTGCTAATCTCTATGGTCTTGCAAGTTGTGTGGTTTCAAAGCATATCACGATGCCACTATCTAAATCTTGTAATAGCTCAAACCAAGATTTATTTAGGCACATGTGGAAGGAAAACCGTAATCAAGAATCCAATCCTTGCTAGAGAATTGGATTCTATAATGGACAAAACTACAACACATATCCCTCCTTAGTAACTACAATTTGTTCTAATAATTTTTTTCTTTTTTTAGGTGTCTTCATCTTCCTTATTGAGCATATATTCTTGAAGTGACCTTTCTTATGGTGAATTATGCATTTGTTTTTTAAATTTGTGCTGAAATCACATTTCTCCATTCTTCTACCAACCATAAGGTGATTTAGTCAAGGCGAGCTATTTTATATTTTCTTTATTTTCTTTATTTTTCACTTGTGTTTCTAGCTTTATTTCTCTTATGGCTGTTCGTTTCTTGCTATTAGCTCCTTGGTTTCCTGTTAACCCTTCGGCTTTCCCTGCTGGCTCACTGTTTTTCTGTTGGATTTTGGTTTTCTTGCTGTTTTGGTTTCACTGTTGCTGGATACTCATTTTCCTTGCTGTTTTTTTTATTTCACTGCTGTTGGCTGCTCGGTTTCTTCCCCTTGTTAATCCCTGTGCATGTATGGGTTGATTTGGAGGGGTTTTAGTGGTTGTTTTGGTGGCACATTTATGTGGATAATAAATGTCCTTCCCTCTTCTTTCTCCTCTAAATTGGGGTTGAATTCCTTTGTGAAAAAGAGTTTTAGGAGAGAGATTTGTGATGAATTTTTGGAATGTGAAACCTGCAGGTTTTTAGCTCACGAGCTATCATCTTCTACCTTCCCTCTACTAATTTGTCATGGACTTCTATCTAATTCTTCTTTTCACGGTTTTCATTCTACCTGTATCATTCTTCTCGAAACTTTTATAAGTTGTAAGGTGTTGTTGTATCCTGCTTTATTGTTGTGTTTGTTTATGTTATATTGAAAGGAAGGTGTTTGTAATTTGTAGTCCTAGAACCAAGGTTGTTTTTTAGGGTTGCATCATAAGGTTATCACCAATATTTTCATGATTTGATTCTCCACTCTTTTTTTAATTCCTTGAAATTTAGGGTTGATTTTACTTTTTCCTTAAAATGAGTGGTTATATTATATAGCATATTATCTACAAAATATTCACACCTTTTTGGCCAACACCCAAAAAGATTATGACAAGATCATCACCCTTAATTTTAGCTTCAATATTTTTAAGATCCATCATGATTGTCTTAGTTGTTCAAATACTTATTTTGATGATTTAGATTCATCCATTTACAAGCTCTATAACTACTTCTTGAGTTATATCCAATTTATAAGGGACCTCTTGAAGTAAGTGGATTCAAACATACTCTAAACACTAATTCTCAACTCCTCAACAATCTTCCTTGGAACTTTATCTAGAAGACTCAAGAGGATTATAGGGTGAGCCCTGTTAGCAAGATCCAATAAGTTATTTACATCCACGTTTTGCAATACTTCTGCTGGCAATGCTGCATCAAAAATGCACAAGCAACACCATCTTCTGTAAAGACTGAATCCATTTTGCCTTGTAAAGTTCTTGATCTTCAATCTTCTCTATGTCATCTTTATTTTATATCTTTTTTGGTGCTCTGATCTCAGTTGTAATATCAAGAGATGGGTCAAGCATAACATTGAGCAATCCATGATTGAGACCCTTACTAAAATCAGGGTTTCTCCATTTAAATTAGCCTTATTCTTTTCCAAGATTTAGGTTCTTAAATAAACAACTCACCTCTAATCTTCTTCCTTTAGCCCGTTTGGCTTTTTTCCTCAAATTTGAAGTTCTAGATAACATATTCATTCAACATCTTTGCTTTTCTGGATAGCTGCAGGAGATTAACAACTTCAATTGATCTCCTAAATGCCTATGGATTCACAACAGCTACTGTGATTGGAGAAGCCAATCGTAACAACAAGATACAGGAAGATCTCCAATTAGGGTGTAAACAAGTTGAGCCGAGTTCGAGTCATACCTTACTTGAGCTTGACTCGTCGGCCAAATCCCAAGCTCAAATCTGAGCTCGAGCTCGTGTCAAGCTCAAAATGTGAACACGAGCTCGGCTCGTGGTTACAGAGGTGGGTTCGCATGCTAGCTTTTGACCATAGGGACTTGACCGCCGCCGGAGATGATATGCTGCAACAAGAAGAATACACGTGGTGCAGATGGGAGGGCCGAGGATTCTTGCACTCTTTTTAAGAAAAAGCTGTAGTTTTTATTAATTGCTTTACAGTTTTATATTTTTCTAAAACAGAACTTCATAGCTGTATAGGTTAAGTTTTTTTTTTTTTTTTTTTTTTTTTGGGAAAATTCTTTACAGGTAGTGTTAATAAAGACATACTTTTAAAAAATAATAATACTAATAATAAAAAAAATTGAATAATATATCATACGAGCTGGCTTGCGAGCTCGCGAGCCGAGTCTCATCAGGCACGAACTCGAGCTAGTTTAATACACGAGCTTAAGAGCTTGAGTTTAAGCCCAAGCTCGCGGCTCTATAAGCTTGGCTCGTGAGCTCGTTGTCGAGCTGAGTTCGAGCCGGCTTGACTCGCTTACACCCCTATTTCCAATGTTAGAAGCAACATATCTTTAAATTAGATTAAGTGCCTACTCAAGTTTTTTATCTATAATAAATTAAGAGGAAGAAAGGTAGAGAGAAAGAAAAAAAGAGAAGAAAACATTGTTGACATTATATTGCAAAATATTCACTTTTATAAATATGACATCTTAGGATATTTTAGAATCCATATCAATGTCAGTCAAAATCTATATAATGTGAAAACAAGAAACTTAAGAACCAACAATTTTTAAAAATTGAAATATGTTGGGTTAATTATAATGACAAACACTAATAACGGGATATAAACTCTTCCTAACTCAAGTTTTTGGCTCTTTATTATCGAGCTTTGACTACGATGATTAGTAGTAACCTTTTGATCTTATCTCTTGGATGTACTTTGGGTTGCCTTGTGTTTCCTTAGTTATGTCTATTTGTTAGTCTCTTGACATTCACCTCACTCTTCCAATTGCAATTAAATTTTTTCTAAGTTTTTTGACTCGGGGGCTGTCTTATTCGGTGCTCCCACATTTTGTTCTTCCTTTTCGTCAGTTTTCTAATCTCATTGATTTTATACCTATTTTGTTCTTAGTAGTTACTTTTCTATTTTGTGTAGCCTCGTAGGTTGAAATGGTTTTGATCCTTTGGCCTATCCTCTTTGTATTTTCTTTTATTGTTTAATTTAATTTAAGCAATTGCTCTCAATTACCAAACCCCAAACCCCTACATGTTATTTGAAAATGCTTATGTTACTAGTAACTAAAGGGCTATTTGGCAGGAGGGGTTTTGATTGTGTAGTGCATTCTAAATGTAGGGATTTTAAAATTTTGGGTATTTGGCTAGTGGAAAAACAAATACAAATTAATGTTTGAGGAATTCCAAATCTCACATTGAATTCAGTGTCGATGTATTCAACTTCATCAAAATTGGACGAAATAGAAATACATTGAGCAAAAAGCATCACTTGTGATTCCTTCGCTCTACAAAAGGCATCGCTTGGGAGAAGCCGCAGTAAAGACACCCTTCCTTTGCTCTATTAACACTCATTCTCACCAACCACTCTACAGTTGACACCGTCATTTTCCACCTACCCTCTACCTCAGGAAATGCTTCTTGGGGCATGCCCTAGGTATTTTATAGTGATATTGAGATTGCATTTTTACTTGCAACCAAATACAAAATTGTGATATCCAATCTTGAAATTAGTCTTAATATTTTGAATTAGGAGTATAAACGAGTCGAGTCGAGTAGTGGCGTTATTTAACTCAGCTCGTCAATTAGAAATCCAACTAGAACTTGAGCTCGAATCGAGCCTAAAAAATGAACTCAAACTTGACTCGTCCTTTAACTCCTCGGCTCGAGCTCGTGGAAGCACTGGGTAAGCACAACCGGTGAAATCCCCACGGGTGCGACGGAAGAAGAAACAATTTTTTTTTTTACTTTTTTGTAAGTGACAGTAATGGAAGTGAGGTAGCTTTACTGTAGCATTAATGGAAAAGCTCTTTTTTTTATAAAAAAAAAATATTTTGGGAGATGTGCAGCTACAATTATTTAATGCTGTAGTAATGTTTTTTGAAAATAACAATTTTTAAAGTTTTAAAATACGAATACTTAATTAAATAAGTGAATTTAATTTTAAATTATAAATGAGATTAGTTCTTATTCATAAATATTTACTTAATCGAGTAAGCTCGCGAGCCAACGAGTCAAGTCTTATCAAGCTCGAACTCGAGCTCGAGGCTCGATAAGCTCTACTCGCGAGCTCGTTAAATGACATATATTAACAACAAAGGTAATGGATTTATGATGGTGGGAGGGTTGCAGCTAGTGAGACTGAGAGAGATGAGTGCAATATGATATTGGGAGGAGCTAGACTTTTATTTTTTAGTATTATTTGTTATGCATCAACTTTTGTAGGTTATTTTAATGTGATTTATCTACTATCTGTAATGTAGCTTGATAGAAGTTTGAATTGGATCTTTATAAAGTTGACAACATTGCAAAAATTATTGCTAGTACATTATTATCTTGATAAGTAGTCATGCTAAGGTATTTTTTTCCTTGATGATTAAACTTTAAATGAATTGATTGAATGTTATAATTTGAGAATGCATTTTGGTCTGTAATTTAGCGAGGATGCACACTGAAATATATATGTGCTTCCCCGCAGTACAATATTCTTTTCCAAAGAGGGCATGTTCGTCCTGTTTCTTCATCCCATCAGGGAAGAGCAGTTGTGGTTCCTTCTCCTTCTGATGACAATTCAATATCTGATACATTTCGCCCTCCTCCCCGTCCTTTACCATATGACGATCCCCAATCTCAAACAACTCCATCAATGCTAGGTAAGCTCTCATTCCCTTGCCATGAACCATCTGAATTTGGGAGAAGCAGTGATGCTGATGGTGCTACGGAAGAGTTAAAAAAACCAGTCTTTGATGGGGATTCAAAGAAAATCCTCTCTGATTCTTCGGTGGAGCAGCCATCAAAGCAAACAAAAACTGGTTTTGCTTATGTTTTCCATCAGGTTGAAGATGAAGATGTCTGCCCTACCTGCCTTGAAGGTATGATGAGAAATTAACTTTCCCGCATTTCCGCTAAGGCTTCGTTTGGGACGATTTTCTTTCTGCTTTTTAAAGCAGCTTTTTAATATGAATTTTTTTTTTGTACTAAAAAGCTGCTTTAAGAAGCAATAAGAAAGCTATCCCAAACAAAGCCTAAATCTGATATTCTAAAAATACAGTTGACTGTAAGATTCGAGAAACAAATTCAGTATCAAAACATCTTCTTTCTTAGTTATGAGTAAGAAATATTTTTGATGGAAATAACTTGCACTTAGTACATAATGCTGTTCTATTGTTATTTCTGCTGGATGCTGGATACATTGGAGGAAATGGTATTGGACTGCTGTATCTTTTTAAGAAAATATCCTGAAGTTGTTTGATTAGATTCGGAAGGGAATTTAATTGGATTAAGAGATGGGGCCTTGTAATCATGAGTTCTTATTTTAGTTTTGAGATGAAAATTTCCTACTTAATTATTTTAAATTTATTGATTTACCGGAGGGTACTGTTAGACCGGTCCAGCCGGTCTATGCGGGACCGGCTTACGGACGAAGCATAGGCGGAGGTTCCGCCTCTTGTACATGCCGCAGATGCCGCGTGATCCAAGGGAGCTATTTTGGAAGGTTTTTTGAGGGATTAGGAGGGAAATTTGAATGTAGGAACTGTTTAGATATTTCCTTTTGAATTATATGCATTAAATAGTTTGTTTTCCTAGGGTTAGGGCATCTTGAATTTGGCTAAAATTTGAGATTTCTTAGTTTCTTTGGGCTCTAGTGGCGTCTAGAGATTTGGGAGAGATCGATCCTTCCAATAGTAATAGTTTATATGTATCAATTGTATCTTTTTATTTTTTCATGTAGTTTGTTTTCTTGCAATAAAATTATTGTTCATTGGTTTTCTATTGGAATTGTGGAGATTTCTCACTGTTTTTGCTCTCTTGATAGGATTTACTTGAAATCTTCAAGTGTTTCCTATCAGGTATTCTCATATCCATTTTCCTTTTTGCAAGTGTCCTCCTTTCCAGTTGATGGTAATGTTGAGGATTATTCGGTGATATCATGATAAAAACACCTCATTTTTGTTTCCACCATTTATTAGGTTATACTCGCATAGAGCCAAAGCTCAGTGTTGTTGATTACAATTTCCTTGATACCGATTGTAGGAAAAGAAAGGAGCCAACTAATAGTAATAGCAGCAATCAAACTAGACCCAAAAAAACTTTTCTATGCATTCAGCTTCTGTTCCTTTATGTTTCAGATTTCAATTGGAAAGCAGTTACTGTTGCTTTCTGAAAATGGAAGCATTTTATGTCCTTCCTTGATTGGATGACGACCACAACACTCCACAAGGTAGGTGGAAGAATGTCCCACATGGTTATCTCCTGGCTGGCCTCCTGGTGCACTTGAAAGGAAGCTGGAAATTCATACAGGCTACTTCCCAAATTTTCCAAACACAAATAGGTAGAGGACCATTCAAGAAACAGGAATTATAAAATATTTTGACTAGTTGGAGAACAGAAAACCTGACATAGATGGTGTTCTTGAATCAAGATGATGATAATCTGCTCCAATTGATTCATAGCAATCTGGTTCTCAGTTTCACTTGGCAACAACCATTGGCAATTCTCCAATTCTCACAAATTGTTTCTCTATTTACCTTCCTTAGACTGGATTTGGCTGGAAATCTGAACAAATTCCTGCCGTTTCTTGCTGATTGTACAGTTGGAAATCCAGCGGTTGCCTGCAAGAAACAAAGAGCATAAACATCAGTAAGTATTTGATTTTTTTTTTTTTAAACAAGAATTGAAAACAGAAAACCTGAGAAGAATAGGTTCTTGATGAGAAAACTGCAGCCCTTCAAAGGCTCTTCAGGATTTCCCTGATTGAATCATGTCCAATCCCATGGAGTCATAGAAAGTGCTGCTACGACCTGCTTCCCGGTTTGGAAACTGCTTGATGGACGCATGGCAACCCTAAAAACGGAAATGGCTGGAGAAAGTAGGTCTGTTTCCTGATCCTAGTGGCCTCTAGGTAAAACCCATCTCCACAAAATCTTGGACTCCGTGTGATTTACCTTATCTTCCGCCTCACCAAGTTTTGGCAAATCCACCCCAAAAGGAAATAATTCCCAAGTCTCTGGAGTCTGGATAAAATCTGAAATATCTCTCTTAAGAAGTTCCTCCCCCTAACGTAGAGATACTATTTTGTGCAAAGTCCAGACCCGAAGAAACTTTCGGTTGTGTGATTGTGAACAATAAAACTGTAGTTACTACTGTTCACCACTCTGCTTTTACTGTTCACAATCACAAAATCAAACGGCTCTCTAGGTCTGGACTTTGCACATAATAATCTCTCCCTAACGTAAGGCTTGGATATTTGTTGGAAAACACCTATCAACTTCTATGCCACCTAATTACTAAACTAGCCCTCCTAAGAAAATAAGAGACAAAAGCCTCCTAAATAATTTTTATTAATAGAAATGACCCTCCTATCTCTAACTATGTCATGCCTACTAGAGGTGGTTGTTTAAATCTATCCCCTGGTAAAGAAATTTTTCACTTGTACGATTAGTGCAGTCAACTTGTAGCTGTTCTTTTTTAAATAGTAACTTGAACTAGTATTTTATTTTTCTATTTATTTATTTAGTTTATAATTATTTCATAAAGTCCATCTCATATTATCATATCTATAAAAATGTTTAAATCTTAATAATACATTATGGAGGATTAATAGTGGATACCTCTTATGAAATGATGGTAGGAGCAGCTTTACTTTATTGTGACAATGAAGACATACTTTAGTTACTTTGATGGAGCAATGACTTGCAGCACAAATAATTGTGTCGTCATTAAAGATTTGGCCACAGTAAGGTCATGTGAAGGTTTTGCTTGAACTTGTCCTTTTTTTTTTATATGTTATAGACATGTTTATAAAAGATATTCAAGAAGTAAATTAGAATTTAGAATGATAGAGAACTTTTTGAGGAGAAGGGGCTTAGGATTAGTGGAATAATGATTGAGTATATGATATGCAACTTCAGTAGATGGGAAATCAATATTTATTAATTAAGAATGTTAGAAGAAAAATTGATTTTTATGTGTGTTAAATTTAAGTTTATTGAATTTATTATAGAAAAGAATAGGAAAATAGTTGAGGACATAATTTTTTAAGTTAAAATTGAGTGGTAAAATATAGTAGTATCTTGGAAGTGTACGTAAAAAGTGAATATCATGGAAACTTAAAGATAAATTTTATAAAATTATAATTATAGTGCTTATATATTCAAATTGTTTGGATAAGTTTAATTATAACATTACATCGAAGGAAATAATGAGGGTAGATAGAATAATGTGAGAAAGGAATAAGAGAGAAAAGAGGGATAGATTAAAGTAACATTCTAGAATTTGTGCCTAAAGACCGGCATAAATTAGAGCTGATATTTCATATAGACCTAACTAGAAATAATTGAGAAGAAGCATTCATTCTCAAATAGTTGGGAAAATGTTACAATGATGGTCCTTATTGTTCTTTATCCTAAGATATATGTTGTATACATCTTGGGTGTTCTATTTTATTCTTATTTTTCTCATTTTAGTAATTTGCTTTATGGACTCTTCGATCTCTGTCCATTTACTAAGAAAGCTTGAATTGTTACCTTAACAACTTCCTTTTGAATGATCAATTCCCTAGTAAAATGATTGCTTGTAGGCTTCAGAGATTAATGGAGAAAAGTGCATATAACTCAGTCAAGGGATTTGAGTTGGCAAAGAAAAAAGTTTAATGGAGACCGGTCATTTTTATCTTTCTTGTGAAGCAGATTTTTTTTCTATTTTTCTCTAAGTTATGAAATAGCTCAAATGTTTGATGAAATAGGCAAGTGTTCCTTTTGTTTTATTATAATATAATGTGGCTATTCTTTCTGGTATTTATTGTCCTTTCATGATTTTGCTTGCTTGATATCATATGCATTTTGCAGATTACACAGTGGAAAATCCAAAAATAACACTTTTATGCTCTCATCATTTCCACCTTAGTTGCATTTATGAGTGGATGGAGAGAAGCGACAAATGTCCATTTTGTGGCAAGGTAACTGGCTTTTATTTCAGAATTCAATTGTTCGAAAGATTTTTTGTTCAAGCAATCTATCTATTTGTTGTATTTGAAAATATATTGTCAACTTAAGCAATCGATAGTGCCGGGCTTGGGTTAGATAGATGAGCCTGGCAATGTATACTGATAAATTGAAGTCTGATACTACTATAGTACTATGAAGACATGGCCTCATTGAGCTTTATCTGGTTTTTTTTCCATAAATTTTTTTTTTTCAAACTGTTCTACTCTTGATCAGTTTTGAAATCCTAGATGTTAATGCGCTACTATTCATCTCTCTCTGTCTATTTAGAAAGTCTTCTTAACAGATTTAAGAAGAATACGAGTCTATCAATGGAGAAATTATTCTGTGCGGAAATCGGACGTTGAGAACCGTCCGGATTTATTACGCTTTAGCTGCCTTTTTGTAAGTACTTAACAAAAGGGTAGCAAATATGCATTTATAATTGCACTTTTACTATCTTTTTGCTGAATATTTACAAAAGCACAATAAAAGGACAACTAAAAGGCAGTAAATATTTAATTAGTAGGATATTTGTTGTACTTTTGCTGCGCTTTTACAAATACTTAGCAAAATGGAAGCAAAAGTGCGATTATGTATGCATATTTGCTGTCGTTTTGCTGAGTATTTGCAAAAGTGCAGCTAAAGGGCAGCAAATCCGTTCTAGCCGTCCGGTCTCCGCATAGAATAATTTCTCCTATTAATGAGAGAGGCTTATCAAAATAAACCTCAATATGAAAATGAGTGATGATAAGCTATTCCTTGACACATTTTCCTTCTCATATTCCTTCATGCTTCATCTCAATTGCAGGTGATGGTATTCACTGAATCACAATGACATCATAGTCATCCAGTTCTTTCCTGCTTTCCTGGGAGAAAATCTGCTCTGCGAATATAAAAAGCAGAATCATCTGTTCATGATTGGCAAAGCCTTTCTTCCTGGTTGCATTCTGTGAAGGAGAGTTGATCAAACAGAGATTATTGGTCAAAGATCAATCAACTCCACGTTTACTTGGAAATACATCTTTGCTTCCAAAATTTGAAATCTACTGCTTGCCTGCTTGTGATAGAGTAGCTTAGAACCTTCACATTAGTACAGAAATCTGATCCTCTTTAAGTTTGCCTTTTTTTTTTCCAAGTTTTTTCAGCCTACTGAGAGTTCAGAATTACTTGGAATGAGATACAATATTGTACAGAACTTGTTTACTGGTTCTTTTCAATCATTTTCTATACGATTTTGATTAATCTTTTATCTTTGTGACTTGAGTATGGATTGGTGTGGTTGGTGTTCATACTGAATTGATCAGATTACTGGCTTTATTAAACTGAAAATTTCAGATTATGATTAATTTATTGTTCCTTTATCATCAGTAGAGATTCATTTGTAGTGATTTTATATCATTATGAACCTTTGTTTGTCACTTTTGTTCTGTTAATTATCAAGGATTGAGAAGCCTGATTATTGTAAGGTGTGCTGAATTGTGCATTAGCATAGAATCTGGATAATGTTTGAAGAGTGCGATTAAGGTTAAGGCTTCGTTTGAGATTGCTTTCTTACTATTCTGTAAAGCTGTTTATTAGTATAAAAATTTATTGAAAGCAAAAAAAAAAAAAAGTTGTCTAAAGCTATCCCAAATGAAGCCTAAATTATAGTATTATGTTTATTATTATTTTTATTTCTCATAAATATATGATGTTTTTGTCCTCTGCTTCTGCTGCGTAAGTTTCTTATCTTAAGAATTTAGCAACCCAGTATTTATTAAGTTAATTAAATAATAACTTCTATTTAGATAGATTCAACAATAACAACAACATCAAGCCTTTATCCTACTACGTGGGGTTATCTATATGAATCATTTTTCTCTATTGTGTCTTGTTTAGAGTCAAATTCTCATGTCTTTTTAGGTTTACCTCTACATTTCTTAACATAGGCCAAATCTAATAAATCTACTCTCCTAGCAGGGTCATCGGAAGGCAACAATTTTACATGACCAAATCATCTAAGGCGACCCATCGGATGGCAACAATTTTCCACACTTCATTTTCTTTAAAGCCTTTCTAATTTTAGTTTTACTAATAGCGCTAAGGTCACTAAAATAGTGGATAGATTAAATAAAAATAAAAATAGTAGTAAGTAAGATAATAAATGAATAATTAATTAATATTAATTATTAAGATTAAATTAAATACTCGATCAATAATTATAATATATATTAGTTAATATATGTATCTAAATAAAATTATTGAATATTAATAATTTTAATTAATAAAGTTTGGAGATTTTTGAATTAGTTGAGATTAATAATTTGCTGAAATTAATATTCAAATTACTTACTAATTAATAATTCAATAGATTAGTTAATAATAAGTTTTATTTGATCAAATTAAGTTTTTAACAACATAAATTTATTTTAATTAATTAATACTAATTATTAAGATTAAATGTAATTCTTTTTATTCGGTCGGTGCGTAAGAAACTTGCATATGTAAAGTTAAACCCAATCTATCCTTGGAGTTTCTAAATTTGGGATTTAAGGGCTATTTGATTTGATGTAAAATTGGTGTAAAGTATTTCAAATTCAAAGATTTTGAAAATATTAGTGTTTGGTTTAAAGTAAAAGAAATATTTGAATTTCACCATCTATGTTAATTTTGGTGTTTGTAAATTGTTAGATTCGGACGAGTTCTAAATAATTATAAATTTTTTGTCATTGACTTCCTCGCCACCTCGCATCAGTCGCCATCATCGGCTCTACCCATTGGTTGATTTGCCACCATTGCCAACAATTATTGAATTTTATCCTACATTTATTTTACTTCAAATCAAATAAAAAAATAATCTACATTTATTTTACACTAATCAAAATAACTCCAAAATATTTCAACTATATTTCTTTGTTTTTACACTATATTCCTTTTATTCAAAATTTTTAGGCCACAACTATAATTTTGTTGACTATTATTTTCTCACAACTTTTTAGAAATTTCTACATTAGAAAGTTGCTTTTTATAACTAAAAAAAATTTATTTTCTTCACATTAGCTTTATGAAAAACTCCCAATTGTAATAAAAATCATGCAAAAATTAAGGTTAAGCATAGAAAATTAAAGAGATAAAAAATCATCCAACAAGTACCCTCGTATTTAATACTTTGTTTGGGACAGCTTTTGACCACTGCTTTTTTCATTGCTTTTAAGAATTTTTGATATAAAAAAAGCTGCTGTAGAAAGCAGTAAGAAAGCTGCTCAAATGAAGCCTAAATATTTTCTACTCGTCGTGTTAAATAAGAAAACCAAAACATATAAAGCAAGGATCAAAACAATGCATAGCATAACTTGGTCTAGACTTTAATTGGAAAATCAAAAGATACCATAACTTTTTGCACTACTTTTAAAGCTTCAAGCTAATAGTTCATACTAGTGTCAAATTAATAAGCTTTAGTTATCATATCAATCAAAGCTAATGAAAAATTAGCAAATTAATAAGGATCATTAGGACATGAAGATGTATGCTAATGTTTCTTTAGTAAAAGAAGTATCAATGGGAGGTAGAATTTATAAGAACAAATGAAATCCAATGATTATATATGGAACATAAGGAAATTCATCTGGTTCAAAGGCACTATATCACCAACTACTAATATTTCTTTAGTAAAAGAAGTATCAATGGGAGGTAGAATTTATAAGAACAAATGAAATTATTAAGGTTCAACCGTGAACCGGTCTGAAGGCTGGTCCGATTCACCCTTAAAAACCAGGTGTGCATCAAACCATCCAGAACCGGTTTGAATCGCCAGTTCCTGTCCTGATTTTTTAAAACCGGCCAGTCCAATATGGAACATAAGGAAATTCATCTTGTTCAAAGGCACTATATCACCAACTACATCTTCATTCTTTTTTTTTTTTTACTTTTTTTTTTGCTTGCAAATAGACCCCCCCTAATTTGTTTTTTATGTTACAAATCACATATCTTCATTCAACTACTTCATAGGCTCTATATATTGATCATGGTCCTTAGAATCCATTATATTATGGGGAAACAACTCTTATTCTAATGTTGAAACTCAATAACTTAAGGTGTATTATAATAATTTGGCTCATTTAAAAAGGCTTCCCATTTTATTGAGTGTTTACCCACGTTTTGAAAATCGGACCGGTCGGCCGGTTCAACTGTGAACCGTTCTGAAGGCTGGTCCGATTCACCTTTTAAAAATCGGTTGTGCATCAAACCGTCCAGAACCAAAACAATGCATAACATAACTTGGTCATGACTTTAATTGGAAAATCAAAAGCAACCATAACTTTTGCACTACTTTTAAAGCTTCAAGCTAATAGTTCATACTAGTTTCAAATTAATAAGCTTTAGTTATCATATCAATCAAAGCTAATGAAAAATTAGCAAATTAATAAGGATCATTAGGACATGAAGATGTATGCCAATATTTCTTTAGTAAAAGAAGTATCAATGGGAGGTAGAATTTATAAGAACAAATGAAATCCAATGATTATATATGGAACATAAGGAAATTCATCTTGTTCAAAGGCACTATATCACCAACTACATCTTCATTCTTTTTTTTTTTTTACTTTTTTTTTTTTGCTTGCAAATAGACCCCCCCTAATTTGTTTTTTATGTTACAAATCACATATCTTCATTCAACTACTTCATAGGCTCTATATATTGATCATGGTCCTTAGAATCCATTATATTATGGGGAAACAACTCTTATTCTAATGTTGAAACTCAATAACTTAAGGTGTATTATAATAATTTGGCTCATTTAAAAAGGCTTCCCATTTTATTGAGTGTTTACATATTATAAACAATTAATTTTTATTGTGAGTTTTTTATATAATTTATATTTATAGTTTATATCTAAATATGTAATATAAATTAACAATAATTTATATTAAAGTATATGGTTATTATATTTCATTATTATGTTAATTTTATTATTTTTTATAATAATAATATTATTTATTATGCCATCCGGTTCGACCGGTCGAACCGTGAACCTCTCCTTCGTCCGGTTCGTTGTCCGGTCCGATTTTCACAACCTTGGTGTTTACAACACTCTTATGTTATCTCCATTCTCCCAAGCTTCGTGAAACTTTATTCAAAGCATTTCTTGGGCTTGAGATCTTTTGAGCCCTTTTTATCAAAGAAAAGCTAAAAGAATGTCCTATTGATTATGTTCTCATATAAGTTATAGAATATAAATTACTTTAGAAAATAACATATTATAACTGACTATTGTATGTCATTATCTTGATAATTAGCAAAACATTAAACTAAAACATGGTAGATCCAGGCTTCTCAATTTTATAAATGTTTGTACTTTTGAGCATTATCTTTGAACACAAAGATACTATGTTCTTGTTGGCATTCTTTAACTTCAATGAAAAATGTAAAAAATATTAAATATAGTCAAATTCAAAGAATTGAATAAGGCATATCCAAAAGAGGTCCTCCCCTTACATTTCCTTGAGTTGGTGAAATTATTCTATGCGGATATTGACGCCATCCAGAGGCCAATTACAGCCCGCCAAATCACCCATTTGTTGTGTATCACGGCTGTGTACCCAATGTGTACCAGGTGACGTAGCGCATCGGTGTCCGCACAAGATAATTTCTCCTTGAGTTGACATTTAATATAGCATCTACCAATTTAATGTTCTCTTTCATGAAAAACTTATCTATATATAACTAAATCAAGATGACCCTTCAAGATGAATGATTTACTGCATTTAGAACCTCAATCGACATTTATTGTTACAAATTTATACCTTTCAAATTCAAAAATAATGGCACAACATATTAATGCACCATGATCCAAATTATTGACAATCTTCTATGTTACATGGTCAAATATCGTATATATGACATCGTTAGTAAAATTATGCTTATCAATCATCTTGTAATAGATTTGAGAATCATATTCTGCGATATGGGGAAGTACGGGCTAAAATTGAATACTTTAAAATGTGCTTTTGAATTTTTTTTTTTTTTTAAATTCTAACGATTCATAGTTTTCATAGAGGTGTCAAGTTTAACCATGTCAATTTGTAGTCTTCATAGTAGATGTTAGCCATTTGTAGTGTTGGTAAAAAAAATGTCCAATATCATTGGGTAAGTCATGCTAAGATGTATTCGATGATATTGATATATATATGTAGGACCATCTAGTGTTGACATAAAAAATATTAGTAAAACCTTTGATCCTTCACATAATATGAGACGTTTGTGGGAGATTACTAGTTCGAGTCAATGAATAAGGAAAAATTATTGCGTCCTCCCACCTGACGTAGAGATGCGTCCTCCCACCGCCAAAAAACTCATTTTTTGCTCGATATTGCTAGGTATTATTTGGTAATAATGAGGAATATCATCATGTGAAGACCAATACCGAGTTATGCCGAGCAATACCGAGCAATACCGAGCACATATCGAGTTTTCTCTAGGAAAAACTAAGTATTTTTTTGTATTGCTCGGTATAGCTCGGTATTGGTCTTCACATGATGATATTCCTCGTTATTGTTTGGTATTGCTCGGTATTTGCTTGGTATTTCTCGTTTTTTAGTGCGATTTTAGCTCTGGGAGGACGCATCTCTACGTCAGGTGGGAGGACGCAATAATTTTTCATGAATAAGGAAAAAAAAATATCTTGTATTATCTTGGTTGTAGGTTTACACCTACAGTTGCAAATAAACCGAGTCGAGCTGAGTATGCGCTTTTTCATGTTTGAGTTTATTTATTATTAGTTTGTTCAAGCTTGGTTTGAACTCGATTCAAGCTGTTTTATTTGTGTTCAAGTTTGGTTCATTTAAAAGAATTGATGTTCATATTTGGATTGTGTTTGGTTCATGTTCAGTTTGCGTATGCTTATCGAGTTTTAAATAAACGAGCCTTATGAAGCCTACTAACAAGCAATCACCTAGAGCTTGTTTGTGAACATATATGAGAGTGTTTTCGATCTACTAAACAAGCATGTTCACGAATAAATAAGATCATAAAATGATTCTTCTTATAAATAAGTTTGTTCATGAAGACTTCAAACATGAATAAATACAACTTGTTTATGAACAAATTTATTATATTAAAATAGTGTAACATAAAATAATATAATTAATTTTTACATAACAAAAATAATTTATTTTAATAAAACTAAAAATTATATGAAAATATACAAAGTAAATATTTAATCAAGCTCCTTAAAGAGCTTCTTATCGAGCTTTAATTGATATTAGTCATGAACATAAACAAGCTGAACATATAGCTGTTCATATTTGTTTATTTCACAGTCAAGTATATCAAAATTTAATCAAGCTCCTTATATATATATTGATCATGACTTTTGTTTTTTAGTATTATGGAATCTTAAAATGAGAAATCCCAATAATTATATAGATACCTTGAGCGACGAACAAACTAAAATACACGCCATTTTATCAACTGCTTTCAAGATGATGAAACGCCACGTAAACGATCCAACAGTCATCGTAGCGTCGAAGCAGTTCTTCATCCTTTCATGTAACAATGAGTTCATTCCCCGTCGTCTGAACTCCCTCAAGAGACGGGAAAATTATTAGGTGCGAAAACCAGACGTAGAGATACGCCCGAATTCTAATAAAATATTGACACGTGGAGTTAAGACATGTGAATATTCAATTGGAATTATTTTTTACTTTATTTATTTAATATATCCGTGAAACATTAAGCTAAACTCACCCAAAAAAATAGGTAAAGTGCAGATAAAACACAATAAAAAAGTGCAACAAAAGAATAGTCAAAGCATAATTAAAGTGTAATTAAAGCATAATTAAAGTGTAATTAAAACGTACATAAAAGATAAATAAAATGCACAATTCACTCTAAGAAGTGGATGTGCAGACTATCCCTACCTCCGGTGTCCACACCTAATAATTCTCCAAGAGGCGAGGAACGGGTGTTTTTTATGGTCGGTGATCTTTTCAATCGCTGAAAAATTTCTCTGTCGCTCTCTTTCGATTAGTTTGTTTACGTTTTCTGGTTCTGATCTTTCATGGCATCTGTTTAGGCATCCATCGAATTCGAGGTTTTGCAGGTTTGAAGACCATACCGAGCTACGATTTCGGAGTTGCGATCCCAATTTGAAAGATTGCTGGAGGTAATCCAGATCGCTCGTTGCGACGATTTACCATGTTTGCGAGTTATTTTCTTTCCAAGGATGTGGAAGATGTTCTGGCTTTGTTTAGTTTCTTGATTTCATCGCATCTGTGTAGGTTTCCATTATCTTCCGGGAGATAATACGAAGCTGCAGTATCGGAATCCGTTACCTGTGAGTCTGTGTTTCCGGATCCCCATTTAGAAGCTCATTGAAGGTAAACCAGATCGCGTGATGCGCCGATCTTCTATCTCGTTATTTTATTTTGTTTGACATTGTTAGTTATTTTTTCTTTGTAGTTAATCATTTTGGACAGCAAGTAGGTGTGGGAAAATGGGTGTGGACGAAGTTTTGTGCGACTTTCGACCCGTGAACTTCCCCATGAAGAGTGCGATTTATGTTTGGGGCTACAATCACTGTGGGCAAACAGCGAGAAAAGAAAAGGATTGTCACTTGAGGATCCCCAAGCAACTTTCTCCGGAGCTATTTAATGCGTCCGGAGGGAAGAACTTGCGATGGTTAGATGTTGCTTGTGGCCGCGAGCATACTGCAGCCGTTGAATCGGATGGGTCTCTGTACACATGGGGTTTGTTTTGTAACTTGTGTTATGTTCATTAGTGAAGATTTCTTTTCTATCTTCGAAAATGTAGAATTTGAAGTTAGATGGGGGTGGGGATGTACATATATTTTTTTTAAGTGCGTCATCAGCTAACTGAACAGTTATGATCGCTTCCCTTCTTGATTTGGGATGCCAAATTTAGAATCCTTGTGTTTTCTAGTTCTTTGAATCGCACAGCTTTGGTTTTCTTATTATTCTTTTCATTTTTATTAGAACTTGATATTATATGAGATGTAAGTAACTGCTTGTTCATTTGCCTTCTTGGTTGCTTTACTGGAACCAAATCTAGATTGAGCCAGATATATTCATTTACAAATGGAAATAATGAATAGTATACCATTGAATCAATAGATTTGCCATTATCTATCATTCGAAGTTTTGTTCTACTTTTCTAGCTGTAGTGTAATCTAAGTAAGTGTTAAACTAGGTTCTAATGACTATGGTCAGCTTGGAGATGGAACTGAAGAAAGCGCAAAGCACCCAACAAAAGTTAAGTTACTGCAAACTGAATTTGTGAAATCTGTATCATGTGGAGCACATTGCACCGCTGCCATTGCAGAACCACGAGAAAATGATGGTTCAATATCTACTGGAAGGCTTTGGGTTTGGGGACAAAATCAGGTATTGGCCTCTTCTTTTCTATATGCAAGTTTTTTTGTTATTTAACAGTTTTACCCTGGTCTTGTCAGGGCTCCAATTATCCTCGCCTATATTGGGGGGCATTTTCTCCTGACACTGTAAGAAACATCCATTTTTTTCATTCATTTTGCATCAATTTTAATTTGTAGCATGTTTGTAGTTTGCCTCAAAGTGGAGGGCCTCAGATCCATTAGCTCTTGACGTTCTTGTTTCACCATTTACAGCATTTTGATGAAAATTTTGGGATCATTACTGTTATGAAAACTTCAATGTCTAGAATTTTATAGGATATTTACAATCATCAAAACTCAAGTCAAACTTTATATATTGTATTGGTAATCTTCAAATTATGTGATGCAATGGGTCTATCCCAATTCAGTAGCTCACAAATGATTTACCATACTAGTTTCATTATGTTTGCTATGAGGTGTTGATTATAAAATAGGGTTGAATTGAAATCAGTTCAAAATCTCTATCTTTTCACGCAAACGATTGTGTGTTTTGACTCAAAATTTTAAGAAAAAGGCTTTATGAATAATATTTCTGTGGTTGAAGATATTTTTTCCTTCTTTTTTATATCCATTCAATTCATTGAGCTGTCATCTTTTTCAGAAGCACTTTCACATAATTCATAGTTTTGACATTTCAATCTGTTCTAAAAGCTGACCGCTTCATTAGAAAGTTGAAATATTTGTTTTCTAGAAGGGAATTTTACCTCTTCTGATCCATCTTTGTTGGAAACATAAAATTGTTTTTTTTTTAATGTTTTCATCCTGGCTCAGTCTACAACTTCATGGAAGTTTTCAGAGCCATTAAGTGCATAGCCTGTTTTATATATGATGTGCTTCCAATTTAATATTGTCATTCTCAGGCTTTAATAAAATGCACTGGTAAAAGTTAGTGCATTATATTTTATTATTTTTTAATACAAAGGAGTCTTGTTATTTGCCTGTCATTGCTCTGGTCTCATGATATTACCCTGCAGTGCGTTTCTTTGGAGATTCCTTTTAGCTTAGTAATTTTTAGAGGTTTGTAACTTGCTATTATTCTCCATTGGGAACAGGTCATACGCCAAGTCTCGTGTGGTGCAGCTCATACAGTGGCTTTATCTGATGAGGGTTTAGTGCAAGCGTGGGGTAAATTTTTCTATAGTGGATTTAAAGCATTTATCTATAAACATCCAGTGTTGAGAAGTTCTATGCATGCTGAGAAGCTTATTTATTATTATTATTATTATTGTTCAATATGTTTAGGGGATGGTGGCATTTATTGTTTTCGATCGTGCTTGAGAGTTTCTAGATTCTTTTTCTCGTCAACTTCATTTCGTAATTTAATTAGATTTGGTGCTTACTTTTTTTATTCCACACCAGGCTACAATGAGTATGGTCAACTTGGAAGAGGTTTTACTTGTGAAGGTCTACAGGGATCTCGTGCGTTGAATGCTTATGGAAAATTTCTAGATGAAGCCCCTGAACTTGTGAAGATTACACAAGTGTCATGTGGGGAGAACCATACGGCAGCTATATCAGAAAATGGTGAGCTGTAAGTCTTCTGCCTGGACTGATGCGTTTGAGTATCTGTTTTCAAAGACTAATGGTTTTCATCTGCCTTAGCACTGTTGCCCTTGTTTAGAATATTTGTAACTATTATTTCCCAATGTCTACGTTTTCCTTGTTTTGTGGTCTATAATAGTCTAGAGTAATTCACATGTATTTAAGGAAGATTGTGATAGGAAATACTTGAGTTCGCAAGCAATCATATCGGAATTACTTGAGTTCGCAAGCAACCCTAACGATAATTGGTGAAATCAGCGAGAAAGAACACAAAATCGCCAACAAAATCAACCCAAAACAGTAGATTTTATTAGGGAAATCAAAGCAAAGCAAACATGAAGCAAAGATACAATTGATCCTGAATTCGAGGATCAATTCGAGAGGAGGATCATTCTCTCCCAATCTCTAGACGATGAGTCTAGAGCCCAAGACGCCAAGGAAAACTCCAAGAGAACAACTCAAATCATGCATGCCCTAATCCTAGCCTCCCTCTTCTTTTAAATATATAACTTCCTAATACAAAGCCAATAAAAACCTTCCTAGAATAAACCCAATTCAAAATAGTTTCCCAAAGTGCTAACCGCCGCCTTCCCTCTCTCTAGTTTTTGCCCTAGGGGACCCACAAGCCCTGGCAGCTTGTTTAAGGAGGCGGCTTAGCCCGCCTCTTGTAAAATTGAACAGTCCCAGGCGGAGCCGTTTTGATCGGTTCAGGCCGAACTGTATCAGATTGTTATGCCACATTGAAATGTTTGCAACTTTGCATAACACAAACCAGAAGTGATATTTGCTTTGGTGCACAATTTCTTATGTTACACCGAAATTACTGTTGCAATGCTTGTTCCATGGTAAGTCATGATAAGGACAGGGATTGCATAATTTCATGGGTTTGCATCCGAGATTCCTTGGTTATATCTTTTGTCTTTGGAATTAGTTAATAATATTTCTTTTAGTTGCATCTCAATTTCATTGATTTATATTTTTTTATTCTTTTGAATGAGTAAGTATTTTCTTAATTCCTTGCATGCACTTATCCTGCATATGTATTTATGCCCATTCTACCTTTCCAGGTCTAATTTCTTCTCTAGTTTTTTTACGGGGAATGTGGGACATCATTATTTTTTCCCCAATTCCCTTCCATGAGATCTTTATACCCAAACATAAGAAAGAAACTCTACAAAGCAAGGGATAATACGATATACCCTTAAGCATGAGAAGAAGATATATCCTTGCAAACACTGTGGACTAACATTTTTATTGGGCATTCAATTCACTATTATTGTTGATCTTGGCATACAAAGTTATAAAAATGTTTTGTTTCTCTTTTGTGTTTTTTTCATCTATTTATGTAGATTTTTCTTCTAGCAAATTATTAAATAATTTTATAAATAATTGAATATATATTAGTTGTAAATCTATAGTAAAAATTACGAACTTTTGGTTTTAAATGCAAATATAGGAAATTTACTTCATGTTTTGATATCAAAAGTTAAATATGAAGGAAAAAAAATGTATTTGAAAATATTATAATAATTATCTCTATAAATTTCATCATCTTTTTTCTCTACTTTACTATATTTACTACATATCATATAGATGTTGAGATTGATTTTAGTTAGTGCATGGTGGATGTGTTTTTTTATTTTCTCACAACTCTATTCTTGCATGCATGAATGAATATTGGGAATACCATATTCCTGTCTGTTATCTGGTACTCTCATATCTATTTTTTTGACGTTAGATGAAATCAAAGCCCCATCCCCTCACTCCCACTGTAACATATGCGCACCACACACCATGCATCCGTTGCCTGCTTCAATTTTTGCATAATAGGAAGTCTTTATATATATAATTTATATTCACATCCATTCTAGCTTTTCCTCTAATTTATTTAGCTCTATTTAGAGCTCAAAATGTTGGAGAACTATGACTACTAAAACGAGGTCAGATGAGTTGTAAATCAAGTAATTTTTGTATTTGCTTGGCAAACTCTTCCATTTCAATTTGATTGATCACGATACATGATTTTTGTGAGCATCAAAAAGCTCTTATTTGCAGTATTTAGTATCTTTATCAAAAAGTTCAAGAGGATTACTGCTCAATAAAGGCCAATTCACTTTAAAATGGAATCCTTTATTTTTATAGCGGTATGAATATTGTATTATCTTTGTAGAGTGAATCTGTATATATATAAATATATATAGGTTTTCAACTGGGTGTTTTCTTTTTCATTTTTTTAAAATCTTGTGTAACTCCAAGTGAAAATCAAAACCACTGATGCTTATATAAACTATTATAACTATGTAGGACCCAATTTATCCAAGTAAAAAAGTATGATCTGGCTTTGAGATTTAGGAATCAGTTTATTTAATTTGAAAAAGTCGTGTTTAAGAAAATAATAATTTTGTTTTCATTCATTTTGAATGTGGAAATAAAATCATCATTTTTTAAGGTATTTTTAGAGTTGAAATCTGTGTTGTTTTCTAAGTTCTATACTTTTTCAAATTATGTTTTCGGACTTTCAAGCAACCAAATGAGAATTTACTGGCGGTGATGGAACCAGAAAGTGATTAAGGGTGGCTCTCATCCTCATATGTTTGGGATAAACCCTATTGTAGTTATGTATAGTATGAAAATTTTGCCAGTTAATCAACAGCTATGTTTAATAGTTGCCCCCTTCCCCTCCCTCCTCTAATATTCTGGTTCTGCCATTGTTAATTGGAGTTTTAAATTGTAAGTTTATTTATTTTTGTTGTGGCTTAGGTTTTGTTTGAGACTGGCTTTTTTGTTGCTTCTTAAAGCATCTTTTTAGTAAAAAAAATTATTTAATGTACTGAAAAACTGCTTTAAAAAGCAACAAAAAAGTCATCATAAACGAAGCCTTAGTTCATCAAATGTGCTTTTTTCTTATCTTATTTTTATATAGATATACATGGGGACTGGGAAGTATGGGACAGCTTGGGCATTGCTCTCTTCAGTATGGAGACAAAGAACTGATTCCTAGAAGAGTGGTTGCTCTTGAGGGGGTTATGATCAAAGATGTTTCCTGTGGTGGTGTGCACACGTGTGCTCGAACCATTGAAGGAGCTCTTTATGCCTGGGGTGGCGGTCAAGCAGGACAATTAGGGCTTGGTCCTCAGACTGGTCACTTTTCCTGTGTTGCTAATTCATCTGAAATGTTGTTTCGTAATATACCAGTCTTAATCATACCTTCTGGTGTACATCTTGTCACCTGTGGACATTCTCACACGCTTGTGTACATGCGAGATGGAAGGATATATGGGTGGGGTTACAATAACTATGGCCAGGCAGCTAATGATAAATCCACATATGCCTGGTTTCCTTCTCCTGTTGACTGGTATGCCATTTCTGTGAATTGCTTCTGCTTCTATGTTTTAAATATGTGGTAAGGGTAGCTGAGTCGTTTAGGCTTCGTTTGGAACGACTTTTTTACTGCTTCTTAAAATAGCTTATTTTTGTACTAGAAAGAAGCTGTAAGAAGCAGTAAAAAAGCCGTCTCAAACGAAGTCTTAATTGTCTACCAGGTGGGTCGGTGCAGTGACGAGATTGGCTGCTGGAGGTGGTCACTCAGTTGTTATCACTGATGCATGCACATTGAAAGAGCTATGTGAATTTCGGCTTGCTGAAAACGTGACTAAATCCAATTCATTGCTCATTGAAGATGTGGCATCCCGAACTGGCTCAGATGCATTGGCTCGGCTTTGTGAACGTTTGAGGTATGCTTTGACTTGGTGCGTTATAATTTTTTATGTAGCACTCGATAGAAACAAATGTTGAATGAGTATTCGGAAACAAACCTGAAGTAGCTGGAATAAGGTTAAACTAAGTAGTCGGTTTCTTACTTTCACTTCACTCTAGTTAATGAAAACTTTCTGTATTTGTAACTGATTGATAATGATTATTGAACTGTTCCTTATAGGCTTATACTTTATGCTGTAATCTTTCAAAGTACTTTTTATGTGCTGTTTCTGTATTCAGATTACTAGGTTGGTTTTATGTACCTCTTATTTCTGACTACACAGGATATGTTTTCTTTGAGAATGTGATGTAGTATGGTGAAAACTCACTACACCCTACCTACTTATGAGAGTATGAAAATTGATGAACTGGATTGCTTTTGTTCTGATCATTTTTATGGTTTCATGTAGTTCATGGGGTACAGTTCTGAACGAAGATGTGCGTATCCTTCATACTGTTTAGTTTTCCTTGATTATTGGTCTTTATGAAAATATTGACAAGAATGAAATATATTTGTATGTTTTCAGTTTACAACAACTAAAGAGTACAAGGATATGATATATTGCCTGATTTTGCTCCAGAATTGGGAGGTTTTAGATAGGGATTTCCATTCAGCTTGATGTTCACCAGTAAAAATTTTAGCTTGTTAAGCATCTCATATTTGACTCATTTGTTAGCTAACAAACTAAATATGAACACAATAAACCGTGTTGGACACTATAAAAACTCGACCACGGATATATCCTGATGCCGGATGTCATAAACTTCAGTCCCTATATTAATTACAAATAATTAGATAATTTGGATTTTACGTTTTCTTTTAGACTATGACCCTTTATTTATCTTACAAATTACTATAAATAAGGGTTGTTGTCTTGTAGAGGAGGAGATGGTTTATGGGTTCTGTATCCTAATTATTCAGGTGGTGTTGTCCTCTTAAGAAGCATGTTCTTGGGTTTTGTCTGAGCTGCTCGGTTTCGGTAACTTTCGTTCTTGTCCGTTACCGAGTCGCTCTCTTGTCCGATGCCATTTGGTATCAGAGCCGGTGGGCTCTTCTTGTTTTTGTTTTTTGTATCCTGGATTGTCTCCAGGTGGTGGCCGCCCCTCTCGTCTCCTCTTCAGCCGCCGTTGCTGACCATTCCGCCTCCGCTAAAAATCATCTTGTTCTTCTACTTATCGTCCAACCCTCTTCCACAAGAAACCGCATACTACAAGTTGGTGTTGTCTTCTTCAAGAAACTGCAAACTGTTGCTGTTCACCCATTCCAGAACCCCAAACGTGGATGTCCAGTTGCTATCAGCCACCTTCACAATCCGCAGGAACCAACTAGGGTTGTTCAGTTGCTTTCCACCTTCTTCTTGGTTGTCAGAGCTATTGTTCAGTTGATTTTCACCTACTTCTGAACGACAGCCCACTTTCTTCTCCACAGCATCTGTTGCTGTCTAGGTTTAGCCACCCGCCAAGATCAACAAGGCTAGCAAATTTTATGCTGTCCTGTTGCAAAAATGGTGCTCGCATTTGATTTCAACCGCTCGTCTGGCCATTGACCCGACAGCACAGGATCCAGACACCTGCTGTCAGCTGCCAAGTTGTTGTTCTAACTTACCGATGTTTGTAAGGCATCTATCTTCGGTACGTAATTGACTTATTCTTGGTTCTTTCTGCCTACAATGACATTACACAATCGTGATGATTTTTGCTAGTTATTTTCATCTTGGAGAAGTTTTCTCTGTGATTTTTCTTTTTGCTCGAAGAGGTAGTGTCAAGAGGCCTCCTAAGTTAACACTATCAACCGCCTCAGGCCTCGAATGTAGTCTTTTTCCTTGATCGATCTCATAAGTTATAGCCCCTACATAGAATTGTCTGTCTGCTACTTATTCTAGCAAGAAGACCTTTTATTCCAGCCAAGAATAGTCTGACAAGATGTCTCGTCGATGGACGTTGCAGCGGCCACTTCAAGAAGCAATAATCAAAGATCTTTGTCAAGAAATTACCCGATTCAAATAGCGATTGTTAAGGCTTGAACGAAGGATAGACTTGGGATGAGTTGAGTGGGGCAATGATCTTCACCAAGATAGATCTGACGTCAGGATATCATAATGAAGAAGGAAGATGTGCCCGTGCCCAAGACCGTTTTTAGAACTCATTAGGGGCATTATGAGTTCCTGGTGATGTCTTTTGACCTTACTAATGCCCCAACCACATTCCAATCTCTCATTAACAATGTCTTCAGACGTTACCTTAGGCGATTTGTCCTAGTGTACAATAGGACAGAGGAGTATTGGGAGCACTTGAGGAGGGTTTAGAGGTGTTGCAGGAGCATCAGCTAAGGGACAACCGGAAGAAGTACTATTTTGCCAAGACCAGTGTAAAGTATTTGAGCCATATTGTGTCCAAAGAGGGGGTGGCAACAAATCAGTCAAAAATTGAGGCTATGTTGAGATAACCATTACTTAAGTATCAGAAGGAGTTGTGAGGATTCTTAGGACTAACATGATACTACAGGAGGTCCATAAAAGGGTACAACACCATAGCATGACCATTAACAAAACAATTGAAGGACGGATTCCTATGGGGGGAGGCAGTTATAGTAGTTTTTGAGAGTTTGAAGAGGGCTATGATGACTATACCAGTCTTAGCTCTACCAGATTTCACTCAGTGTACAGATTGGGACAGTGCTCATGCAAAATCATCGACCTATTGCATATTTTAGCTAGATGTTGACAGCTAGAGCCAGGCTAAAATCAGTTTATGAGCGGGAGTTGATGGTCATTATATTAGTCATCCAAAAGTGGCGGCCCTACATACTAGGTAGGCATTTCATTGTCAGAACTGATCAGCATAGTTTGAAGTATTTGTTGGAATAGCGGATGGTGATAGAGGAGCTTCAAATGTGGTTGTCCAAATTGTTGGGTTATGCTTTTGAAATCAAATACAGGCCAGGAGTGGAGAACAAGACGATATATGTTTTGTCCAGATGTATGGGTGAGTTACAAGAAAAAGCAGTGTCAATTCCAATGATGTTAGATTGGGAGGCCAGGAGTGGAGAACAAGACGACATATGTTTTGTCCAGATGTATGGGTGAGTTACAGGAAAAAGCAGTGTCAATTCCAATGATGTTAGATTGGGAGGCCATCAAGGAGGAGAGCGCTTGTGATGAGAAGTTGGGAAAGATTAGGGCTGATTTACTGAGGAAAGGGAGTAGCTACCCGGGGTAATCTTTAGAAGAGGAGAGACTTTTGTACCAAGGGAGGTTTGTGATGCCTAGGACATCTGTCCACATCCCACACTTACTCCGGAGTTCCATGGGAGCGATATTGGAGGTCCCTCAAGGGTGCAAAAGACACACAGGAGACTAGCTTCAGAGTTGTACTGAAAGGAGATGCATAAGGATGTGGAAGAGATGTTAGCCATATATGAAATCTGTCAGAGGAATGAGTATATGGCCATGTCTCCAGGAGGATTACTATAGCCATTAACTTTACCAAGTCGAGTATGGGAGGATATATCCATGGATTTCATAGATGGACTTCCCCAATTATAAGGATTCACAATGATCCTAGTGGTGGTGGATTGATTGAGCAAGTATGCTCATTTCATTCCCCTACGACATCCATATACCGTATTGACAATGGCATCAGCTTTCATCAGAGAGGTTGTAAATATGCATGGAGTACCAGAGGTTATAGTATCTGATAGGGATAAGGTTGTTCATACTATAGGAACAATATTGAAGAGGAGAACCACCTATCACCAACAGATGGATGGCCAAACAGAAGTGGTCAACAGGAGCTTGAAGACTTTCCTCAGATGTTTTGTATCGAAGACACCCAAGTTATGGGCCAAGTGACTATCATGGGGTGAGTGTTTCTTTTATCATTCTGCTTCTCAGATGACGTCATTCAAGATGTTGTACGGAAGGGATCCACCTCACTTGATGGATTTTGGGCATAACAATACTCTAATTTCTTCAGTGGAGTACTTGGAGGAGAGGGATAGGGTGTTGGAAGAGTTAAAAAGGCATCTGCTGAGAGTTCAACAAATTATGAAGAAAGATGAAGATGGGCATAAGAAGTACATCCAATTCGAGGTAGGGGGGACACAGGGTTGGGGGGGGGGGGGGGGGGGGGAGGGTGCTCTTGAAGCTCCGATCTTATAGGCAAAAGACAGTCGTCAATAGGAGAAATGATAAGCTTGCCCCAAGATATTTTGGGCCTTATGAGGTATTGGAAAGGATTGGAGCTGTGGCATATTGGCTAAAACTACCACCAAACGATGACTTTACACCCGATATTCCATGTATCCCAACTGAGAAGAGCCATTGGAAATCATGCAGCAAGCTCTAAGTTACTAGTGACGTTAACTAAGGATTTAGAGGTGATACTAGAACCCTTGGAGTTGATGGGAGTTCGACAAAGAGAAGATGGAGCTAAGGAAGTGTTGCTCAAATGGAAGAGCTTCCGTGATTACGACGCCACATGGGAACCTTATGAGAGAGTGAAACATCAGTTTCCCAGCTTTCACCTACAGGACAAGGTGATTCTTTGGGATGAGGGTATTGTTAGACCAGTCCCCAATGGACCGCTCCAAACGGCCCTAGACAAGGGGTCGGTTCACACATATAAAAGGTGGACCAAGGCTGGTCCGCCTCCTTTGAATTAGCCGCCAATAGGGGTGGGGTCCATGGGATTAATGAGCAATTAAGAGAGAGAAAGAGGGGGTGGGCAGCTAGGGTTAGAGAAGGGAATTTGCTTTTAATAAGAAGAAATTAGGAGAATTAGGACATGCTTGATTATTGTATTCTCTTGGAGTTTTCTCTTGGTGTCTTAGGCTCTAGAATTCGTCTACTGATTTGGGAGATAACAATCCTCCTCTCGAATTGAGGATCAATTGTATCTTTGCTTCGTTTCCTTTTGTTGATTTGATTCCTACAATAAAATCTATTGCTTTGATTGCTTTCATTAGAATTGTCGAGTATATTTTGCTGTTTTTATCGATCTTGTTAGGGTTTACTTGAAATATTCAAGTATTTCCTATCAGTAGTATCACGCAAAAGAAATTAATGCAACCTATAAAAAAAATCAAATAAAATTATAGAAAATTCGTCCAAAAAAAAAAAGTGAGCTATAAAGTATTGCAAATCAATCCAATTCAGGCTTATTATTAGATTAGTTTGACTTCTTATAATAAACTTGTGAAAAATTAAGCTTTTGCAACCTAATTTTGCCCAACTTGGCTGTACCACATCAATTTGTGCTTTTAGATGGATGGATTTCAGGAACCATAACAGGTAAAGCATCAAGGCTTTGTTTGGGATAGCTTTTGACCATTAATTTTTCGCTGTTTTAGGCTTCGTTTGGGACAGCTTTCTTATTGCTTCTTAAAACAGCTTTTTAGTTCAGAAAATTTAACAAGTATAGAATTAATGTTTTGTTTGGGATAGCTTTTGATCATTAATTTTTCTTTGTTTTAGGTTTCGTTTGGGACGAGTTTCTTTCTAATTCTTAAAGCATCTTTTTAGTTCAAAAAATTTAGAAAATTGCTTTAAAAAACAGTAGGAAATCGTCCCGAACGAAGCCTTAATTAAAATTTTGTGCTAAAAAAGCGTTTTTGAAAGCAGTAAGAAAGCCGTCCCAAATAAAACCTAAATAAATATTTTTCTTGGGGTCTGTCGCCAAACATAAAGGGGCCAGAGAGTAAGTATATTACATTATTGCCCTTTTCCTAATTTTTCTTGTGAGGTATATACATTTGTGCTTGTATCAAGCATTTGACAATTTTTTTTTAATTTTTTTCAGGGAGGATTGGTTGGAGAAGGGAGACTGTCATCTTGGAGAGGCAATGGGAGAAATTGTAAGTAAAGAAAAGAGATAAATAGGATTACATATTCTTACAAATTCATTATTAGTGCTTAGAGACTGATGCAAGCAATAAAAATGAGTCAATTGGACTTGAAAATTGATTGTAGAACAGCAATTGCTATTTTATATCAAATTTCCATATTTAAATGTGAACCGATTTTAATTAGCTTTGGCTCTCTTTTTTTATATTTTTTTATAAGAAATTTCTTTTTTTTTTCTTTATTTCTTTCTTTAATTCTTCCATTAACATGGTATGGAACTGCATTTTTTCATGAATTTTTGGAAGGTATATGTAAATTGCTGTGCTATATTTTTTTTTAAATAATCAATATAATTTGACTATATAAATGTATTAATTTGATCTCTTGATTTTTTAAATAAAAAAATTAATCTTTTTATGAGATTATTTATATCTCTATTTAAAAAGTTAACTTTTAAGTATTTAAAATGAAATTTTTAAATAGGCAGAATTTTTTTTTTAATTTTTTGTATAGAGTTATGAATTTTTTTCATCCTTATCCCATTGGTTAAATATTTTTTCAGTCATGAATATAATTTATATTGAAATATCCAGATTATTTTGTTTTTATTCATTGCTGTTTTTGTTCAAAAAAAAAATTATCACATTAATTTAATGCATTTCTAGCCCTTAATTTGATATCATTATGATAATGATGGTGGAACTAGGGGTGTTAATTTTTTTATTATAATTTGAGTACAAGTTGAACTCAAAATTAACCCGGCACTATTCGATTGAACTCAAACTCGACCCACTTCGAATTTATGTAATTTCTAAATTTTCAGGTTAATTTGAATCTGACTCGATTTTCGGAATGGGTCTAAACTCAAATCAAACGCATTTTTCAAACAGGATGATCATAACTCGAAATTTTTGAATCAAACTTGATTCAAATTTTCGAGTCGAAAGGGGGATTTAAGTTTCATTTGAAATAGTTGTTTTTAATATTTTTTTATAAAAGAAAAATAATTAGTAAAATAATGTGTTTAAAGAAAATTTTTTAAGCTTTATTTAAAAATTCAATTTTGAAAAAAATAATTTTAAATTTGTGATTGAGAAAAAAAAAAATGCCCCTCTTTGCTGTTAGCCAACTTTAAACAGCAAAGTCATACTACAAACCCTTAAATCTATGAAAAACTATTTTAATTGGCATTATAAGTAAACATATATCCTCATTAAACAAGATCAACATTCATCTCTATAATACTCATTTATTTTACTCTTTAATTTTCTTTAACAAAAAAATAATCTCTCTAGCTCTTCTTCGACCCAATCTTGTTACAACAACATCAAAGCCAAGAGCCAAGAAACTCTTACGCAGATCGCTTTGATCTGTTGGTTATGAGCTTTGACTATCAATTAAAAGGTCTTATATTCGAATCTTGCATATCTGATGTGTGCGAGTTTATCTTAACAGACTTAAACATCCAAAAAAAAAAAAAAAATTTTTAGGGCTCCAAAAAAAAAAAAAATCTTTAGGGCTTAAATTAGATTATCAGCTACCATGATTTCATTTCTAGTAAAAAGGTCATCAAAAAGTAACAAGGTTGATGAATGATGATATTCACCAGCTTTTTTGTACTTTCCAACTAAGAAAATGAACAAAAAACCAGTTCTATTTTTCATAAAGGTGCCTAAGAACCCCTAAATAACTACAAAACAAGTATATTTCACTGCATTTCCTCCTCATCTTGGTTTTCTTCCTCCTCATCAACCATCTTGGTCAGCTCATCTTGGATCATTAGTTTGATTGCAGCTTTTCTTGGAGTAAGATCTATTTTGTATTCAGAAGCTGAGTGATGCAATGTTAAAATGTGTTTAAGCAGATTATTACATGAAATCTGAGTAAAGCAAATGTAATTTAGATGCAGAGAATACATACCCAGTAGCTCAAGAATGTCTGTAAATGTGGCCTGCATTGCAAAATAATAGTACTTAACTCAGCTATACAGTAAACAGACATGAATGAATGCTGCTTTAAAACAAAACAATTGACAGAAGCTCGCTGCAATGCCAAGCGCAGGTGTTTAGAAATCAGGGGAGGGGAGCTTAGTCCCCAAAATAAACTTCAATGATGTCAAGAGTTGGGTGCTTATGTTATGCAGAAGTATTTGACATCGATGTCAAGAGGGCGTATGTCGTAGATATTGAGAGGGCGTTAGTCGTTGATGTGGAGAGGGCTTCGGACAAAGATGACTTGTCAAGTTGTGGGTGTAGAAATTGCTAGTGTCGAGCATTTATGTCAAGAGAGTCACACTTTGATGTTGAGATGATTTTGAAATATTGTTGTAACGACGTCAGACGTCGATGTTGAGATGACATTGAGCATTGTTGTGAAATCAAATTTACAACCCGTCAAAGAGAAATGAAAAGAAGAACATTCGATGAATAGGGTATTGAGTACAAACGATTGATTTGATGTTGTGGATAGTAAATAAAAAATTTATATTTTATATTTTAAATAAATAAAAAATTTAAATAAAAGAAATTATATTTAAAAAATTCATAAAAATTTTTAAGGCCATGCATTTCCAATACATATTTAATCGAACATATTTTTGGCGTGTCCGACATGTGTCAAAGGCACGTCGGACGGGTGTCGTATCGGAAACGTGTCGGAATTTGCAGGCCTCTTTGAGGAGAAATATCGGTGCAACATAGCTTGAAACTAAACTCTCAATTTGGTTCTAACAATACTAATACCTAACATCGAAACAAAGTAGCTCTAAATGTTTGCAAGTACTGCAACTGCAACGACTGAAGTTAATTAAGTAGAAACATGACAGCCATTGAGAGCAGCCAAAGCTATAGCAGGCTAGAAAAGTATAAAACTTAAGAATTTGCCTGCATCTATCTGCAGCAACTATACCAACTCCCTAAAAGCATACTAGTAATGAAGCTATATAATACACTTACCGTATTGAAATCAACTTTCTTGAGGATCTCGGATATAGACTTCAGAAGCTCTGCTTTGCTGGGACCAGATTTCTGCACTTTTCTGGACTTTTTCTTACTTTTAGATGCTTTGCCTTGAACAATAGCAAGAAGATTTAAAATTACAAGGTTGCTTAAAAGGTAAAATGATTCAGTATTCACTTGCTAAGTCCACATAGAGCCTAAAAAGAAATGGGAAGAGTAAAATGACATGAGCTCCTAGTCAAAAATTAAATATGTCAAACCAAATAACAAGGGAGCAAGAAATTTTCTTTCAATTTTTTTTTTTGCCCATCATGTCCACAGTTCAAATGCAGGGTAAAACTATCTTTTGCAATTATCATATTATCATCATTTTTTATAGAAGCTAATTCTTAGCAACAACCTATAAGTGCATGTGATAAAGACACATCATCATAAATCATATCATGGTTATGTAACATATACAAGTCCTCTAATCCATATGATACATAACCAAAAACACTTTATGTTGCAATGGTTCGATTGAATAGATGGCATTTCCACTCCACCAGCCCCACCAAACATGTCATTCCATGAACTCCACCTATCCTACTAATCCTTTCAATCCACATCCTTCACCTACCATATAAGGATTAATTATTCTATGCGGATGCCGAATCCCATCCAGAGACCAACCATAATGCGCCATGTCACCCATGTGCTCAATGCCGCGGCTTGGTACCGCTGATGTGGCGCATTCTAGTTGGTCTCTGGATGACGTTCTACGTCCGGTCTCCGCCCAGAATAATTTCTCCCACATAAGCCCCTCCAATCCAACAAACTCTGCCTACCCAAGTAGTCCCTCGAATGCTCTACCCATCCTGCAAGTTCCTTTAGCTTCACTTAGCATCAAAAAACTCAAGATTAAAAAACTCTAATTGATTCAATATCATTGACACCACCATTGATGCACGAATACATTGACTTCATATTGTCATCAATACCGCCTAATCATTGACACCACGCCCACATTGTCGATATACTTCATTTAATGCCTAAATCTGAATGCTCCAAGATCCTCGTACATACATATCTACTACTTATATTGCCAAGCCATGAGATGCACACAAGCCAATTCTGCCACCCTCCTAACTCTTTGGAGAAGAGTTCCATGTTGCCCAAGAAAAATGATGCATAACTATCATAGTTGTTTATTCTTCCCAAATCAGAGTATAAAAAGTAATAGAAATTACAAAGTATTAAACTTTCTTTCATATTACTTGCTACCCTAAAAACATTAAAAAAACACACAAACTTAAGACTAATGAGGTAATGATGTTTGAAGTAGCAAGTACTTCCATAAAAGCTTACATTTTGAGGAAACATTCGCTCCTCAGTCTTCCCCGCACCTCAACCTAAACACCCACCACCAAAAAGTTCTTCAAAACTTCTTTTGTTCAAATCCGTTACCATAAATAATCACTGTCGAAGAATAAACTATCCACAAAAAATATTAATATTAAACTATAACCCCAATTCAACCATCACATCCATATTGTAGAAATAACAGTTATTGGTCAAAAAGTAATCTAATTAGAAAGAGGTAATTTATTGAACTCTCCACTTTTTCATGTACTAAATGTATGAGAAAAGCATACCAGAAGATTTCTCCTTCAAATTTGACTTTGAGTTTGATTTCTTAGGTGATTCAGCATCCTTTTTTGTTCTTGACAAGGCCTTTTCACCACTACTTTTCTCAGCCTTTGAATGTTTGGAGGGTGGTGTCTTCAAAGAGCTTTTTCCATCAGCTTTTGGAGTATTTTTTATAGAGTTGATCCCATTTTTCCTCTTCATAGTATCAGAAGAGGCCTGTATCCTGGGGGACTTCTTAACATCTTTGTTTTCTTTCCCTTTTAAAGATTTCTTTACTTTCTTTCTTTTTCTAACTTTAGCATCAACCTCGCTTTCATCTTCTTCTTCATCACCTGTTTCTTCTAATTCCTTCTCCTCTGCATCGCTCTTAGAATGACTTCGTGCGACATCTTCTTTTTGAGATTGTTCTTCTGAATCTTCATCTTCATCTTCATTTAAATCTTCAACTTCATCATCATCTTCAGTGTAATGTGAACTCTTTACATCTGAATTTGGTGTGCCCTCAGTCTTGTCATGTTTCTACAGCATCCGCATCACAGTTATGAAACTTTCAATCTAATCAAACAGCCTTACAAAGCTAGAGCAATCCATGAATGAAATTTGCAATAAAATAATGATAGAGGCTGATGACATGAAAGTCAACCATAAGTGATTTGCCACTTAGTTTCTTACCTGCCTAGACTTTTTTTCAAAATTGCCTCCTGAACCTTTTGAAGCATCGGCTTCCGGAGCTCTCTCCCTCTTTCGAGATTTTGATGACTGCAAAGAAAGTTTATAATCAACCTTATCCTTATGAATCCACACTCTGCATGTGTTACTATTGAGTTGTTCAATGCAGACTCCGAAACAAAACAAACTGAACCATTACCAAATAACATGCTAGCCTACCAAAGAAAAATACAAGAAAAGGTGGGAAAGAACCTATAAGATTCCTCATAAGTATAAATGCCACATGCCTTGCAAGTTTAAGAGACCAGAGAAAAATATAATAATAATTTATGAGGAAGCAAACCTGCTTTTCACCCATTGCGTGAGGAGCTTCCATGAAATCCAAAAGCTGCACTATAATTTCATCCTGCAATCACAAAAGTGTTCCACAAGAACAGCACTATCTTGTCTCAGCGGAAGCAAATTAAACACAATTATTAACTAGCCAGAGGCAAACCTTTTTAGTATTAGTTTTCGATACAGTCAAATCAAACAAATCACACATTTCCAACAAAGTTTCTTTTACACATTTGTCAAGCTTCTCCTTTGTCTTAGCTCTTTGTTTCTCCTGCAAACAAGTTTCACATGAACAAATAGTATCTCTGTAAATACCATAAGCTGGTAATTTTGGAGGTATGGAGAAGCACAAAAAGAAAAGCCTGCAGGAAATTTCATGCAAATATCAAAACTTCTGATTCTAAAACTGTCAATGCAAGAACACTTGCCTCACTTTCATGCCAAGTAAATCCAGAAAACTGCAAGAGGTTGCTCTTAAAATCGACTGCCTGCAGGCAAGCATTCAGTGACCGTTACAAAGGTTAATTCAGATTTTATGATCATAAGGAAATGGAGAATGGATTTCCACACTTTCAAAACAAGAAATAGCAGTTAAAAATGGTTAACTCATGCTGAAGAATTAGTCAAATAGTCTTCAACCAAATGAGGATATAAGCTCCATTTTATCCCTAAGGAAATTATATAGAGGATGATATAACTTAGAAACTAAAGTCGGTGGTTAGATCTATTGGTATACTTCCAATGATTAAACAATGGGATTTTGATCAGATCTATCTTCAACACCTAAACCATTCCCCACTCAATTGAGTTCATATCTAATTACCAAATCTAAGCCTAAAATACGAGTCTAAACAACCTCCTTAATCAAGGTGCCCTCTTACAAGCGACAAGGTAAATAATATCAGGCTTATGCCCATAGAAAGTCTCAAACCTAGATCTAAATAAACTCTGGCCAAAATATCTGATAAATTCCGGTTAAAATAAACTTATCTATATCAAGAAAAGATTACCCCTGCGTTTTCACTCTTAAACATCAACAAGGCTCTCCAAGGGTAAGTGATTGGCTCTTTTTGAGTGATAAGTATTGTGATAGGAAGAGCTATGTTTATGATAGTAAAGTTCTCAATACGGATCATAATAGAATTATGAGGATCATGACTTTGATATATATTATTTAAGGACCAAAGTTAACAAGATGAAAAACATAATATTCATAGGAATATGACTTTTGATAGTGATGATTATCATAACAATTATTATGATAACATGAATTCATAGTGATAAATTCAGTTGAGAGTATTTTTCAGGAATATAAGAAGCAAGTTTTGCATAAATATCTAAAATAATCGAGAATTTCAGAGGAAAATATGATTTGTATTTATTATGCTGAATTTATCAGAATTGTTTCTATAGAAATGTTAAACTGAAAAGCTTTAGAGTTGAAGGGAAACAGCAAGTATTAATGGCGTGAGGAAAAAAAGAATATTTAATACACAGTTCTAGAAAATAGAAACAAAAAAATGGAAGAAGAGAAAAGTCAATAAGAAGAAACAAACCTCGAAATCAACTTGAAAACAAGGTTCTATCTGATTGAATTTCCCTAAGCAAAGAAAGGGAAAAAGGCACGCAAATAAATCAGAATAAAAACTACCTTTCCTTTCCTTCCAAAGAGAGTCTGATGCAGGAATTTCAATTCTGCAGGCTTCTTTCTAGCCAAGTTATTTGCCACTGACATGACAAGGCAATAAATAAATAACTTCAGAACTGAATGAAATATTATCATAATGTATCTCTCAGAGAAATTTAATCTATATACAACACCTAGCATAATAAAACAATTTAATTCTATATCATGCTTAATCATAAAACTTCTTTTTTTAGACTTACAGAAAATAAGTTGGTTACATGACCCTGCAACCATTAAGATAATGAACTTGCAAGTTTAAGATCGCTTATTAGATAGATCAATTTACCAACCAACATTCAAAAATAAGAGGCCTCTTCGCACAAAAAAAAAAAAAAACTCATTTGCAAAATTTGAAGAAATTTGAACTGTCAATGTTAGTGTTAATAAGTCACAACTTATAGACCAATCTCCTCAAGAAAGTAGTAGGCATATTTTGTTTGAGATAAGAAATGCTTTTATTATTGGCAAATTCTATTCTCAAAAAGTATATAAGACGATCCAAATCTTGGTCTAAAAAACTATTATGTAGATATTTCTTTACTTTAATAATCCTTTACTAATCACTATAATAAATATAATATCATTTACATAGACTACCAAAATAATATAGCCAAATGAAATGTGTTTGAAGAAGATAAAGCAATCTATTATGCTACAATGAAGGCCAAACTCAACAAAAAAATTTATAAAATTTATCAAACTAAGCCCAAGAGCTTTGGTTTAGCCCATATATAGCCATATTGAGTTTACATTCTTGACTTTCTATCTAAATTTACAATTATCTCTATAAAGCTGTGAATGAATATAGTTAAAGGTGACAATAATAGCACAAAAAAGAATATTCCTTTCTCAATATGTAACATATTTAGAGTCCGGTTTGGAGTTTGATTTTTCTTTCCTCAGTATAAATATGCCTTATGTAAATGTTATAACTTGGAATGTGGTTGAGTATTTCCCTTTGTAAGTCTCCTAATTGTTCTTCTATTCATTCTCCAATAAACTTGTAAGTTTCTCCATAAAGTTTCCAACTCGATAAACAATAAGTGGTGAAGTTGAACAATGGCAGTCCCTCATTGCACTAACAAATCAACTGAAGAAACTTCCATGTGCAAGTGTGATATTCATAATTCACAAATAGAATTAACAATTGTTATGAACGCCATCATAACATATTGCTTCATTTGGCATGAATACTTGTTGCTTTGCATTTTTTCATTTCCTAGTGTCTTAATATAGAACAAATAGCTCGAATGACATAGGCTTCATTTAGGACAGCTTTCTTACTGCTTTCTAAAGCAACTTTTTAGTTGAAAATTTTCTTGAACTAAAAATCTTTGTACTAAAAAACTGCTTTAGAAAACAATAAAAAAGTTGTCCCAAACGAATACTTAATCACGGCAAAACAACATTTCCTACAAAACAATTATGCAATTGACACAGCCCGAATGAAAAGATGGTGAAAAAAGAAATCTTGACAACCAAACCTTCTTCTTAAATGCTGAAATAAAAACAGTTAAGCTTGAAAACATATGATGTTGATAGAATGTAATGTAAATCACAGAAAATCATCAACAGGCAGCAGCAAAATCTGGAACCTCAACCCAAATAAATTGAGTTATTTATGTAAAATCTTCCATCCATTGTTCCAGCATATAGTAGAATTATATCTTAAAATAAAACCAAATAAGCAAGACCAAATGATGCCATAAAATCGAACCAGATAGCAAGACCCAAACCAATCAACCACAACTCCAATCATCTATCACACCCAACTAAATTATATGGGATTGATGGACAAGAAATGTGGACAACTAAGAAAATGAAAGCCAAACCCAGATAAAACTGATAAGTGATTAAATAGATGTGATAATTTAAGAATATTTGATATACCGATACTCAATCACAGTGAAGAAAATGATACAACCATGTAACCGGGATGGCTGAGAGCCTACCATTAGGTATTTCTTCCAAAGGAGTTCCTCGGCCCTACAAGAAGAAACATTGAAAAAACAATCAATCACATGTTTATATTTTCAAATGAGAAGAAAAAAAAGAATAGCAAGCACCTTCTCGATGATAACAGTTCTATCCGGCGCTTTCTGGATAACTTCTACCCACCTCTCAACAGTTTTCCTTTCACGCACAGGACGGTCACTAGAAGAGACCACAGGGGAACTCAACACATCCATAGAATTCTTTCTACTTCCTTCAACCTCCATTTCTTCAACATTTTCCTTAGTGCCACCATTTTTCTTAGCTTCACCAGCTTCAGAAGGTCCTTGAGCTCTGCCCCTTTTCCTTTTCAAAGACTCCTCATTTTGATTATAACCCACTGTCTTGTCAGCATTTCCGCCATTGTCTTTTTTCACTTCTTCCCCTTCTCTCACAACAAGCTTCCCCTCATCTCTCACATCAGCAGCTTCTTTCTCTACCACCTCTTCAGCTCCACAGATTTCCATATCCTTGGCCTCTTTTCTAGCCTTCCCTCCATCGCTAGCTTCAACTTGAACTAAAACGCTTTCCTCATCCTTGTCACCACTCCTAGTTTCACCATGTTCAACATCTTTCATCTCTTCCACACCTTCTTCAACGTTATCATTCTCCAGTTCTTCGACAGATTTATCTGATATTGGATTGCTGCCTTCTTCCTCGCTCTTCTTTCCAACAGCTTCATCCTCTCCAATGCCATTCTTGTCATTGCTGCATTCCACGCCTTCCACAGCTTCTACAGACTTCTTATCTCCAGCAAGCTCCACCCTTTCCAACACGCTACTCACTTCCCCGTCCATTCCCTCTAACCCAATTTCCACCTCATTAACATTCTGAACTTCCACTTCCTTCTTCTTTTCCTCATCTTTATTTTTCTCTAAATTCTTCTTTCCCTCCATATCATGAGAATCCACAGCCTCCTTTTCCTTCCCATCCACAGCTTTCCTTGGCTCCTTTTCAATCACAACTTCGGTTTCCTCTATATTTTTACCTTCTTCCCTATTCTCAATTTGTTTTACACTATTCCTCTCCTCCCCGTCCTTCCGTTCTTTCAAATTCACCACTTCCTTGAATTCTTCAGAACTATCATGTTCATTTTCATAATTCTTGACTTCCTCCCTCATATTTCCATTTCCATTCTTTATCTCAGTACAAACTTTTGTAACTGCACCGTCAGGTGGATCAGTGACATTTTTCAATATTCCTTCTTTTGACTCCCATGATTGCTCCTCTTCCTCCATTCCAGAAAATGCAGGAGCAAAACGATCCTTCAAGAAAAAAAAATCCGACGATGAACAATACAAGAAGGCTTCTTTCAAAATCCCTAACAGATAAAAAAAATCAAAGAATAATACGAAAGCAAAACGGCACATTTAACGAACAAAATTCGAGAAAAACAACACAGCATTTAGGATTGGAAGTTCAAAACCAAACGCTAAACAGAAAAAAAAAAAGATAAAAAAAGGGTACTTTACAAGCATCTCAAAAACCCTAAACTCCCGTCCCTGAGCTATAAAAGTATCGATTTGCAGAACGAAAAATCGACCAAAACCGCTCAAAATGAGAAACCATGTACTCACAGATGACGAAGAACCGGCGAGCCCTCCGTCGAATTCTCAGCTCTTCTTCCCACTCTGGCGCTACTTGACTCCCGGAAAAAACAGAGATTTTTTGCTCACTCTTCGCCGGACGGAACCAACTGTACCTTTACCTTTTTGCCCCTCTAGCGGCTTTATTCGCCGTTGCCACGTGTCATTAAATCACACATAATAATAATAATAATAAAATTAGAAGATGTTTGAAAAATGATAAAGTAAATATAGAAGTATATATTTTTTATTTGATTTGATATAAAATAAATATAGTATAATATCTAATAATAGTATCGAGCGACAACAATGTTAGTAGTGATTGACGAGTGGCAGCAGTGGTGATTGGCGGTAAACAATAGTGGGTGGTGATGATGGCGGGTGATGGTCTGCAACAATGGTAGCCGACAGGCGACTGACAATGTGTGGTGGCAGATTGGTAGCGGTGATAGTAGGCAACAAAGGTGTTCGGTGGCGGGTGGTGGATAGCCCCGACCCTTAATCTTATTTTTTCAATAAGTTGAGCATTAAGCATAAATTAAATTATAAAATATTAGCATAAATTCCAATATGGAATATGGGCTAACTTTATCCATCCATCTTCTTAATTTTTCGCCTAAATTTTTTTTGTATTTTTTATTTTATTTTATTTTCGTGTTGAATCTTTGTGCAAGGACGTAAAACTCTCTTACTCTACCTTCATAAATTTTCTAACTTGCAATATAAATATATAATTTAGTTAGTACAAAACTTTCAAGCATATTCCTCAAAAAAAATAAAATAATCGACATATTTCTCTAATTCGTGCATCATCGATCATAGTTAGTCAAATTTTCCTATATATTATTTAGGAAGATGTATGTATATTTTAAAATTAAATTTATTTTAATGTATGCATGAAATTAGTTTAATTATTGTATGTATGTTTTAAATTAAAATTCTTTGGATATTTAAACATAAATGTTTATTTATTTGTATGTTTGTTTAAAAGTAAAAAAAAATTATAGAAAAATATATTTGACAAACATAATTTTTTAAGCAAATATTAAATTTAATTATTATTATTAAATGATCTTTAAACATAAAAGCAAAATAGCTCTACTGAATTCACTATTCATTTTTTTTTTTTTTTTAATTCACTATTCATATTCTGAAATCACTGTGGCAGTGATTTGATCTGTGCAGTTCAATGCAAGTGTCTCTTAATCAATATATAAATATTTTTTTAATTTCCACCAATTTTCTTAATTAATATAAATATTTAATTTATTTATCTGAAATCCATTTTGCTAATATAATTTTGATTGAAATTATTTTGCTGAAATCTATAATTGTTGAGGTTATTTTGCTAAAATCTGTTTTGGTGGAGTCAATTGGCCAAAACATTTCTGTTGAAATTATTTTGCTGAAGTATGTTTTGCGAAAACTACTTAGCTGAAATCATTTAGTTGGAATACTCTTTGAAATTATTTTTTTAAATTTTGTCAAAAATTGTTTAAAAAATTGTTTATTTTATTATTTATTTTTAATTTGCATAAAATCAGATTTGAACAAACATTATTTTGTGCCTAATTATTGTTACGTCCTGGAGTATTCGCATCGGTAGAGAAATATAAAATTTAACGTCTTAATTTTATACGAAAATCTGACACACAATCAGATAAGAGAGAGGGTGTAACATTTATGAGACAACAAGATTTTTATGTGGAAAATCCTTGAAAGGGGGAAAAACCATGGGGCCTAGCCCAATATGAATGAATCCACTAGTATTTACAGTTGATTACAAATGAGGCCTTTCCTTGGGGGAAGGCCTTAGCTTGATGTACATCTTATAAAGTATATTACATGGTGGGAATACAATGAGTCACTATTGATGTGTTTGTTTGGTCGGACGAGCTGTAGTCAGTGGGCGACGTAAGTTAGAAGAATCGTAGTCGGCGGGCTACGGAGGTCGTAAGCACTGTAGTCGGTGGGCGACGTAAGTCGGAAGGACCATAGTCGGTGGGCGACGGAGGTCGGAATGACTGCAGTCAGTGGGAGACGTAAGTCGGAGGGGTCAGTGGGCGACGAAGGTCAGAAGGACTATAGTCGGTGAGCGACGTAAGTTGGAAGGACAGGAGGTTAAAAGGACTGCGTCAGATAGAAGTCCAGTAATTGATAGAAATATTCTAGCATTAGATAGATGTCCAGCGAAAGTCCAACAACGGGCAGAAGTCCAGTGTCGAGTATAAATTTGGCGATGAGTAGAGGTCCGACGTCGTGTAAAAGTTTGAAGTAAGTCGACAGCCGGGGAGAACTCCAGTGTTAGATGGTATTGAGGCAAAACTCCGGCGTCACTTGGAGATTATGAAGAGTTCCGGCGTCACTTGGAAGTCGGGCGGAATTATGGCATCGCTTGGAAGTTGAGCGGAATTCTGACGTCACTTGGAAGTCAGGCCGAATTCCGGCGTCACTTCAAAGTCGGGCGGAACTCCGGCGATGGTCGAGGAGGAGTTTCTTCACTCCTTCCCTATTTCTCTTCTCTCGTCCTTCTTCTCTTCTTCTTTTTTCTTGGGTCCCCTCTCAAGAGAAATGATTGGTTAATTATAGTTGTTGCGTCATGGAATATTCGCGGCGGTAAAGAAGTATATAGTTTAACGTCTTAACATTGTACGAAGATTCAGCACGTACACATATAATAGATAGGGTGCAGCGCTCATAAGAGACACAGAGTTTTTACGTGGAAACCCCTAGAAAAGGAGAAAAATCATGGGGCCTAGCCATGTTTAAAATAATACACTAGTATTTGCAGTTGATTACAAATGAGGCCTTTCCTTGGGAGAAGGCCTTGACTTGATGTTATAAATATACATCATATATAATGCTCGATATAGACATATTTGTTTAGTTGTCATGACCTTACTCGATATGGCAGAGATCGGAAAGACCGTAGTATGTGATGGAAGTTGGAAGCATCGTAGTCGGCATGAGATAGGGGTCAGAAAAATTGTTATCTGACGAGGGAGGTCATAAGGACCGTAGTCGGTAGGAGACAAGGGTCAGAAAGACCATAGTTGGCGAGGGAGGTTGGAAGGACCATAATCGGTAGGAGACTAGGGTCAGAAAGATCATAGTAAAAGGGCGGTACTCCGATAGAACTCTGGGCATCAGGTGGTGGTCTGACAAAAGTCTGAGCCTCAGGTCTTGGTTCGGCATCACTTTGGTGTCAGGTTGTGATCCGTCAGTGGAACTTCAGCGTCAGGGGGCACTCCGGCTTCGGGTGGTACTTTGGCATCTTTAGCTGGTCTGGTGGTGGTTCGACATAACCAAGAGGTGGTGCGGCAGAACTCTTGTGACAGAACTCTGGCGGTTGAGCAGCAGAACTCCGACGGTGGTGCCTCAGAACTCTGACGGTGGTGCAGCAGAATTCTGGCGGTGGTGCGGCAGAACTTCGGCTATGGACGAGGAGGAGCTAGGCGGCTGGAGCCTTCTTCCTTCTCTTTCTTATTCTCTCTTGGCTCTTCTCCCTTGTTTTCAAGAGGAAATGAGATTCTATTTACATAATTCTTAAGTGGCATGGCTCGTAAATAAGTGGAAGATCAAGGGTAAATTGGGAGTGGTTTAGATGGACGGCCGATCTTGATTCCTACAATCATGCACCATTCAATGGATATTTGACTATTTTAATGATATCAGAACTTGGTGATCTTGGGCCCGTTGGATTTGTCTCGTCGAGCCGTTCGATATGACTATAAGCATGTCATGATTGAAGATTGTTTGGTAACCCAAATTGTGGTTTAATCCTTCCAAAAGTGTTTCGAGTATTTGATTTGGGCTCGAATTGGGTCGATTTTGGTGTCATTGGGTTCGTGTTTCCGAGAGACTCAGTTCAACTATAAGTTTGCTAAAATCAGAATTCAGATGGTCTCCGATTTAATTTTGGAAGCTTTCAACTCAATTTTGCATCGAGATTCGTGGCTGATCAAGATAATTTTTTTGATGATATATCAATAGTTTTTTGAGGATGGCATGACCCGTAAATAGGAGGAGGACCAAGGGAAAATGTTGAGTGGTTTGGATGGGTGTCCGATATTGAATCCCTTGACTGTGGACCGTTTGTCAGAGTATAAGCATGTCATGTTTAGAAACCGTTTGGTAATCCAAATTGTGGTTTGAATCTTCAAACATCGCTTCGGGTCTTCGATTCAAACTCATTTGGGCTCGAATTGAGTTGAATTTGGTGTCGTTGGGTTTGTATTTTCGAAACGCTCAATTCGACTATAAGTTTGCTGAAATCGGAGTTCAGATGATCCCATATTTAATTTTGGAAATTTCCGGCTTGATTTGCCTCGAGATTTGTGCCCGATCAAGATAACTTTTTTGATGATATATCAATTATACTCATATTATTGTAAGTGTAATAGCTTATAATCATTCCGTATCATTTTTTAAAATGGTATGTATATAAATCCCTCTATCAATTTCTTCATGAGAAGAAAAAAAAAAAAGCTAAAAGAACTAAAGAATTCCATAATAAATTTTTATGATCATCAACAATCACCGCCACCATTACTAAATTCATGTCATTTGACCATTACCGCTTGATTATTAACATTTGTATAATAATATCATGAAGTTTTAAATATTTGCTTGCAGATAATTAATTTTTATAATCCCTATAACGAAAATCAAGTAATTACGATCAGCTGTGTATAATCACATCCTCTTTAATTATTATGTAGAATTCTTATATCTTTTATTATATAATTAATCATTACAACTGAGCTAGTCCTTATTGTTTTCTCATTCTTGAGTTTTTCATGTAATTTTTTTTCTCGTTTTTTACGACTTTACTAGTGCGTACTGAATCTTTATACAAAATCAACATATACTCTACCGTCATAAATTTTCTATTATGTACACGAGAGAATTGGACTTACATTTGACAAGAATACTAAAAATTAGACAAAAAAAAAAAAAGATAATACAAGATAATACAAAAAATATCAACAAATAGGACTTATATCTTCAATTATGAGGCATTATTAATATTATTATTTTAAAAAAATAATTATAAGACATTGTCTAATATAAGATTTTCTAATATTAAGCATTCTACCAAAAAAAATTACTATTTATCATTTAGGTTTTATTTGAGATGCTTTCTTACTGTTTTCTAAAACAATTTTTTAATACGAAAATTTAGTTAAAAAAACTTTGATATTAAAAAATTATTTTAAAAAGCAATAAAAAACAGTCATAAATGAGTGAAATTTTTACGTGCGATTACCGGATGCAGTCCGAGATCAATCAAGACGCCCCACGTCATCAATTTACTGTATCACTGTATATTGGGTGACATGACACGTTCTGATTGACTTTCGGACGATTTGATGATCGCACGTAATAATTTCTCTACAAATGAAGTCTTAATCCATCGTTAAATAAATTTATATATGCTATTAAGAGCTCTATGAGCTCCAAATTACATAGCAGAAGACCAAACCGACTCAGAATAATGGAGAAAGCAGGTAAACCCGGTTCAATCGAACCCAAAAAAGATAAGAAGAAACTAGAAGCACTACCGGAATTCCCAAATTGCCCTTCATTTATTTCAAATTTACAGCTTATCAGTACGGCAACCACTCAGATCGCACCAGGTGGCTACAGAGCTTTCGGGATCGGCCTCTCTTCCACTGCTGCTGCGCCCGCGAGCTGCTCGTAATGAGTTCCGGCGACGAAGTCGATGATGTCATCGCCAGCGCGGCAGGCGGCGACGTCCGTATGCGGTGGCGGTGAGATCCTGAGGAGGACGGCGACGGCGGCTAGCAAGAAGGTGGTGGAGAGAAGGAGGGGCCAGAAGAAGCCGACGAGAGAAGAGAAAGTGGGGCCGAGGTAAATGAAGCACGTGATTATGATGGCAGCGACGGCGACGACGGCGAAGTGGAGTTTGAAGGGGAGGAGCTGCTCTTGGATCGCCATTGATGTGCCCGGAAGAAGGGGTTTTGGGGCTTAGGAGCGTCGGCGGAATGAAGAGGGATTTGGTTTAATGATTTTTTGGGAGGTTTTAAAAGAAGAGCACGTGCATATTTAGAGCAAATTATTACGTCCGGTGTCCGAATTCGTCCGGACACCAATTATGACGCGCCACATCACCCAAATACATCAGGGCCGGTGTATTTGGGTGACGGAGTATTTGGATGACGTGGCACGTCTGGATTGTATGTCCGAATGTCCAATGACCAGACCTAATAATTCACCCATATTTAGAGGCTGTTTGGCAGCATCTAGGATTTGATTTAAGTAGGATTTCATAAATCCGCTAAATCCAGATTTTATAAATCTTGAGGGAATTAAATCTTGAAAACTATTTAGTAATATTCATGATAAATCCTATTAAATCCCATGTGATTGTTTGACTATAAAACATATTTAATAATTGGATTCTTCCTCTCCCACCAACGGATTTCGTAAAACAGGCAAAAAACATGATTTCAGAAATTTGGAATTTAGCACGAAAAGGAGGAATTTTCCGCCTACGGCGGCTTTCATTTGATGTGAAATTTGGTTTTGCATTTTAGGGCGTTTGCATGGATTCGCCTCAAATCCGACCTAAATATTGCTACTAAATAGCCCCTTAATTTTTGAACATTGCAGCTCACTTTGATATGTTGGTTGTGATTTTTGGCTATATTATGTGTGTGAATTTATCTTACTTGACCTAAATATTCTAAAAAAATTGAATATTACTTAATTTTTTTATAAATATAGCTTAAAAAAATGATTCATAACCCTTAAAAATTTAAGAATTCTAGTAATATTTTTAAAAGAATCTTTTTTTAAAAATCTATTATTTATTTATTTTTAAGATTTTTGTGTAGTTAAGACAAACTCACATACATATGCAAATTTTGAATTCAAAACTTCTCAATTGATAGTTAAAACTCAACTAGCAGATCAAATTGAGCTGTGGATGTATAACTCTGTGACATTATAATAAAAGGCAAAACTCATTTGATTATTCATAAGTAAAAAATGATAATTTTAATTTTGTTGTTATTTAAAAATGAAGCATTAATTTTGAGTTGATTTGAAAATATAAATTAATATTTATTTTTAATTACATAAAAAATAATTAAATTTATAATTTTTAATAGTATAAAAAATTTATTAAGATGAGTATAAAGGTTTATAAATAACTAGGCTTGTAAAGGGCGCATTTGATTCTTTTTGAGTAAAAAGATAACTTTAAATTAATTTATTATATAAAAATGATGCACTAATTTTTAGGCAATTTGAAAATATTTTATTTACTTATTTCTAATTTAATCTAATTACATAATAAATCTAGATAAAAATTTATAATAAAAATTTGTTTAATTTGAAAATAACCAATTGATATATTCCCAAATTGTCCTCATTCAATGCCTTAATTTTGCTTATCACCATGATGGCATGGAGGTAATTTCGGATTTGAAAGAAGATTTTTTTTTTTGGGACATTTAGGTCATTTATGGCAAACTCACACACACAACGCAAACACAAAGACTCGAACTTAAGACCTTTTAGTTGGAAGCATAAGCTCTCAACCAACAGGCCAAGTTGAGCTGTGTAAGATTTTATGGGAAGGAAAAAAAGACCTGTGGAGCTTGTCGGCCATCACATCCTTGAGAATTTTGGTACTACGTCACGTGCGATATTCGGGATCAGACGGTGCGTTGCGGTGCGATCACCACCGTCCAATTGGGTGTTAAACGGCTAGATTGCAACTTTCGGTGGGCGGTGGGCCCTGAAATTTGGACGGCAGAGAAATAGTAGGCTTTATTAGGGACATAGGAAAACTATATAAAAATAGAGCCGTTGCATAATTTAAATTTATGATTTATTATTTTTTTTGGGGGAAAGATTTAATATTCATATACCGAGTTGCATAATTTTTCTGCTTTAAATTTGAAGCTGTTTTTAAAAAGTAAAGTATGTGAAAATTAAATAATGAGAAGGGGCGTAATTAAGGATTTCAATTCGGGTCGAACCTAAAATTGACCCTGCACTATTCCGGTTAACCCAACCCGACCGATTTTTAAAAATAGGTCAGGTTCCGGACCCGAACCCAGCCCGATTCGAGTCCAGGTCAACCTGACCCGACACGAATGACCCAAAGTTGACCTAAAATTACTAATTTTCAGATCAAAATCAGATCAATCTTCAAATTTCGAGTCAAAATCGGGTAAAAAGCAGGTCAATCTCGGATTTCTGAGTCAAATAGAAGTTTTCGTGTCAATTTCAAGTCATTTTCGAGTTGTTGGATCAACCCGAACCCGACCCGATTATTAAAACAGGTTGATTTGTTGAACCCGACCAGTTTCAGGTCCGAGTTGACCCGAACCCGGATTTTTTCGGGTAGTGTCAAAAATTGACACCCATAGGCGTAATTGTAGAGTAATTTTAAATTATTATTATTATTTTTGAACATTTAGGCTATTTAAGACAAGATGAGCTGTGTTTTTAATTATTTGGCTTAGGCTTTATTTTTTAAGAAAACATCAAAAGTTTCAACATTTTTTTTATAGAAATAAAAAATTTTGCCAAAATGTTTGGCATTTTCTACTTTTGTGACGATCCAAACGGGGATTTGAGCTACGGTAGATCACTTAAATGAATTATAATTCACTTAAGTCATTATAATTATAATTTACTTAGGGGTTGTTTGATTGAAATACTTTAAGGTGAAAAATAAATTAAATGTATTTATTTTAACTTTTTGAATGTTTGATTTGAAACCGATAAAGTGAAATGAAATTCTAATATATTTAGAATTCCTGCTTTTAGTTCATTTTCCGGGTAGAGTAAACCAATTAGAAAGAAAATAATTCCCAAAAGAGGCGTGCATTGCTTTACTTGAAAGCTACTTTAGAAAGCACTAAGAAAGCTGTCCCAAACAAAGCCTAAGATTTTATTTGAGACAGCATTCTTACTGCTTCTTAAGCTAACTTTCTACTAAAAAGCTGATTTAAGAAGCAGTAATAAAGCCATTCCAAACAAAGACTAAATAATATTGCTTTGATTTATATGCCAATTTAATGATACAACAACAACATCAAACCTTTATCCCACTACGTGGGATCGGCTACATGAATCTTTTTCCTCCATTATGTCCTATTAAAAGTCAAATTCTCGTTTAAATCTAATAAAGAAAGGTCATTTCTAATATTTTCTAACCAAAACTTTTTAGGTCTGCCTCTATCTTTCTTAACATAAGTCAAATCTAATACCTCTACTCTCCTAACCAGGTCATCGGAAGGCTGCCGTTTTATGTGACAAACCATCTAAGGCGACTATCTCTAATCTTATCTTCTACTAGAGATACTCTAACCTTTTCACGTATATGCTCATTTCGTATCCTATCTCTAAGGGTAAATCCACTCATCCACCTGAGCATCCTCATCTCTGCCACACTTAACTTAGTATTATACTTCTCTTTTAATGGCCAAAATTCAGCACCATAAAGCATTGCAAGCGTCACCACCATCTTATAGAATTTTCCCTTGAGTTTGAAGGGTATTTTTCTATCACACAACAAGCCCGATGCATTCCTCCACTTCAACCATCCAACTTAAATTCTGCTGATAAAACAAATTTTTAATAAATCATTCCCTCAAAAGCATATTCCTAAAAAGGAGGTGGCAAGACATCTCCTATGAAATTCACTCTGACATAAGAGAACAAAATATAATCAGAGGTAAAACTACGCAGCTTGGGATTTGATTCAAATAAGAAAGAACAAAAAAAAAAATTGATTCAAAAAAAAAAAAAAAAAAAAAAAAAAAAAACATTAAATTTGATGATTTGATGAAGTCATCAAACCAATAAACACAAATTAGAGAATAAGAGCAAAAAAAAGGATAAACATACCAACTAAAAAGCCCAAGCTTATCGTTGAGACCAAAGGTAACTTCTCCACAATTTTAAGCTTCGTTTGAAACGGCTTTCTTCCTGCCTCTTAAAACAGCTTTTTAGTACACAAAAAAGCTACTTTAAGAAGCAATAAAAAAATTGTCCCAAATGAAGCTTGATACAACTCACTACTTCAGACGAGGAGCTGAGAAGTTAGTCATATCGATGCTTCTGTTTATCTGATTGAACAAGAAACCAAGTATCAGAATTACTGATCCAAATCATACCCCTTTGATTTCTGAGGGAACTCCAATCCAATTCAGAAGCACAATTTGTCCAGGATGAGAGCGCTGGATATCCGCCAAGCTAGAGATTCTGGCTCACACTGCAGTTCCAAAGGAAAGAATTAAATGCATAGAAGACTTGTGAGTAGCAAAAGGTGGATTCAAGTTTGGAACGGTTTTTTATTGCTTCTTAAAACAGTTTTTTAGTATAAAAAATAATTTTTTTATACTAGAAAGTTGCTTTAAGAAGCAGTAAGAAAACCGTCCCAAACAAAGCCTAAGTAGAGCTATACATAAAGCAGAGGAAGGTGCTGGTATATTTTCAAAACCGGGTGCCTGGAATTGGCATCAGCTAGCTCCGAACCTCCAGGTCACAACTCAAAGCCAAAGCCTGCAGTTCCTTCGGCAAAGATTCATCTTAGATTGAATTTTGCTTGCAGGCTTTACAAGAGTATCAGCTTGAAGGAGTGTAATAGAACTTCACTGCTATTCTGCAATAGAAAATTACTAATTTCAGCAATATAATATAAAAAAATTTATATTTGAAATGGGATAATCAAAATGATATATTTACAGATAACAAAAATAGTTTGGCTGGTAGAGGATCGACAAAACTAATATGTCGTCTATCATACATTATACAGACAAGACACAAGATATTGAATGGCAAACCTAATGAAGGTGTTGAGATTCTTGGAGGAGTTCTTGAATGAGAGAGAGGGAGGGAAGAATAGGAGAGTGCAAATCAGAGCAAAAAAAACATTTATTCACTTGGCTTGGGTAAGCAAATATTACAGCCACATAAATATGAACAAAAAGCAAGAAAAAAACTATTTAACCCTCAGAACAAAAGCATAACAAACTACTATGTAATAATAAATACCAAAAAATAGTCTGTTGCTGGTAGCTCTGCTCCTGAGTGACGGTCCACCAAATACGCATGTGGGACCTGCTGAAAAAGACAATGGGTGAATTTGATAAATTAAACTTAACAAGTAACTCCTATCTATCAGATCATAAAAGACAAATGAATGAGATATACAGTATGAACAACCAAAAGGGTAAAAGTAGCAACCTAAAGTCACTGAAATAAAGGAGCACTGACACACCATGTTTTATACAATATAAATCTAAATGTGCTAAGGCTATTAATGCATTCATCAAACTACTATCAATGTAAATTGTTATAATTCTCACTAGTGCAACCACATCATGTATCATCATACCTCAAAATGATGTATCAATCATTTATTATTTCCAATTCAAGTTCACCTATGATGCACAAACACGAATCCAACGACACAAATACAATACGACACATACACGGGACATCAATTATTGAAAATATTGGACACGGGCACGAGTTAGACATATGGTATAATAATTTTTATATTTTAAAAATAGTGTATAAAAATTGAATAAGAATAATATTTAAAATATTTAGAAATAACAAGTCATTTAACTATAAATTGTGTTTAAAATGATTTGGTATTGTGGATAGGAAATAAAAAATAATAATTTTTATATTTTAAATAAATAAAATTTTAAATACATTAAATTATATTTAAAAAATTCATAAAGTATCCAAGACACGCGTGTTCAATTTGTATTTAATATTTTTTTAATTGGACATATTTTCGACATGTCCGACACGTGTCGGAGGAGTGTCGAACGTGTGTCATGTAGTATAAATGTCGGACACTACACGCCTTTTTATGAAGAAGTGTCGGTGCATCATAGATGTATACTCATATTTTCTTGCATTTTTACATATATATTATTTGTCAGTTTATCATATACCTATACCGAAAAGGTAAGCACCAACCTAAGAAAATTAAGTTATTTTCTATAGAGTCATCACTCTAGGGGCCTGTCGACCTCGGTTAGCCAAAATCAATAGAGTTCCACCAACATACTTAATCATACAGTGCAAGTACTAATACAAATAATCAATAGTTGTTTATACTAAACATAAAAATCACAGTTTATACATCCAATATAATTTACAACAAAAGTATCATGTACTTCTTTAAATAAAGCTAATGTGTATAGATTAAACTTTTCTATAGCAAGAATCATTTAAATGCTAAAAGCTCATGTATCAATAAATCAAGATAGTATTATTCTATTACATGATGATTTCAATGTGAGCCATAAATAAGATCCTTGATATACACAATACTCATAAATATTGGAAATAAAACTAACAACCTAATTAATTATAAGAAAACCTAATACAAATATCATGGATTACACCCCTAACAAAGAGGGTACATTTACACAGTGGCGGAGCCAGAAGGGTACATTTACACAACGGCGGAGCCAAAAAATGTATTCGATAGTTATATTAGCTGTCTCATTTAGAAGGTTAGAATACATTAAAATAGTTATGTTTGTCGTCTCATTACCGAATCCAGGATGAGAATGCAAATAACATGGCCCTTAGAGCTTATAAGACATAAACATCTACCACGGGCGGTCTGCGTTTGGGATCAAGAGAGGAATGAAAAAAAATGAAAGTCGTGCTCGAGGTCGTAAGTCGTGAGAGAGAAGCAAAGGGGAAAACAAACTATTAATGCTTTTTATGTGTCCAAAAAAAGATGTTGGTGGCTTCTTTGGATTAATAAATAATTTTAAAAGGAAGAATCACAAAAATTAGAGCATATTTCCTCATTGGCGAACTTGTTGCTATGTTAAGCCACCAAAACAATCATCTTTAAACCCCTTTAGGCTTTCAGTTTTAGCTTTAGCTACTAAAACAATAATTTTTCATGTTGACCAAAATCTCTTTTCATCATTCCGTCCATAATTGAAAGTCATTCCTCCCTCTCTCTTTCAATATTTTAGCACATTAGTCTTTCTGTCTCTATAGCTGAAGCATTGCATGGTCCGAGTAGGTGGATTGAAGACTTGTAATGGAAAAAGCCTGTAATAAATAAAATGAAAGTTGACAAGGGGTGCTTAAGTTCTATATGCGGACTTATGTCATTGGTCTAAGTAATTTTTTTAGGGAGGGCACGTGCCCCCCTCCCTCCGCCCATGCATTTACACCAAAAATAAATAACATATACTTATAGTGGTCTCCATAAACTCCAACCTCGAAAACAGTCACTCGACTCCACCAAGCGACAATCCTACAAATAACAAAACCAAAACTAATATTAAGCATGTTCATCGAGGCATAATGAAGAATATCCCAATCAATATTAACCACGCACTACTCCAACTAAACATCAAAACAATGACAATAATAAAAAAATGATAATAATAAATCCTTACTCTAGTTTGATCGATGGGGAAAGATGGAGGAGAAAGACTCAAACTTTATTAAAGAGAGAGGGAAAAATAAGAAGGAAATCCTTCTCTAACAATAACGATGATTCAGGAAAATACCTCGAGGAAGAGAGAAAAGAGGGGAGGCTAACTGTGATGACCGTTGTGGAGAGAGAAACGAAGAAGAAAGCTCGGCGACTGTTGCAAGGGACAAAATAGGAGTAAGAATGATGCCTTAGGTTGCCTATTGGGTTTAATTGGAGAGAGGGAGGTTGGTAGGGGCGGAAGATTTCAAAACAACGGAGAAATCATGTGATTTGCGCGATTGGAGAGAGAGAACTGTGGATGGGAGCCAAGCAGCCGCTTGGGTCGCTCGCATGCGAAAGGGGTGAGTCCTCACGTGAAGGGGCGGAGGGAGATCGGCCAGCCACTCGCTCGGTCCTTCCTGGACTGGGCTGGCTCGATTTAGGTATAAAATGCCTACTGTTAACCCGCGATCTGATTCCGTACCCTGCATGCGTTTACCCGCACCTGCCCGAACTCCCTGCTCGCATGAGAAGCCTGTACTCCCCCTGCTCCGCTTCTCACCGAGCGCGCCTCCCGGCCCAGCTCCCATGCCACCCCGACTACGACCTCACCCCGCAATCCGCCCCATTCCCTGCGCATTCGTCCCACGCATTCCCGCTCACGCGCGCTTTTCTTTGCCTTAGGCGACTCATACCAGCTTCGCATGCGGCCCTTCTGCGGAACAATTATTACATCCTCCGACCGAATGTAGAGGAGCGTTCGTTTTTAGGCAAAAACGTGTCTATACCGAGGTGTACCGAGTTTTTTGAAAAAACTCGGTACACCTCGGTATAGGAGCATTTTTGCCTAAAACCGAACGCTCCTCTGCATCCTTACACCGAACGAAATAAAAGTTCCCTTCTGCGTGCTCCCGTGACCCGTGTGTCTTACCTAGGCACTCTGTCAGCCTAATCCCCCAAGCTTGCGTCCGTGATTCGCCTCTATGCGATCCTCTTCAGACTCTTCTCCATGTGCGGACACAGCTTGGGTAAACGATCTCCTCGTGCAACACTGTCCGTGCGATCCACTTCCGATCGCCTCCTCTTCTTCCTTTCTTGAATAATAACCTTCCTCCACCTCGAGATCGCCTCCATCAGGCTCTGATACCAATTTGTTGAGATTCTTGGAGTTCTTGAATGAAAGAGATATAGAGGGAAGAATGGGAGAGTGCAAATCAGACCAAAAGAATTTTTTTTTACTTGGCTTGTGTTAGCAAATATTACAACCATTATGTCTATATATAGACACAAAGGAATGCACTAAACAAAAGGCTATACAAAGCAATATAAGAAATGCCTAAGGAAAGTACACATATATAGAACTAAACAAAAAATAAAAAAAAGAATTAAGTTGGATCACAATAAACACTAACAGAAGAAATTTGCCAGAGCAAAAGGCAAAATGAGATGGGTCTTAAAATTCGAAAAAATCACCCCTTAATTAAAGCAATTTTTTTTTTGGGGGGGGGGGAGTGGGGGGGGGGGGGGGGGAAGGGGTAGAATTGTTGCGCCTGTAGTGATTGATAGACTGCTCAACAAAAAAAAAAAGCATGACATAGATGCATCAAAGTAAAAAAACAACCAAACCTTTTTAAAGCAGAGGTCAATTTATGTAGAAGTCCCAACAAAAAAAATTATGTAGGATCATTGAAATGATTATTAGAAGCATCAAGAGATAACTTGTCAATCAGAGAATGCCTTGAATTTCCACAATGGATCGGATATGATCTGAAAATATAGTCACCTCAGATCTATAAAATATTCATCATATCCAAGGCGTCCACCCTTCATACATATTGCACAAATTGTCTATGCTTGTAGCCTCCCTGATAAGATGATCCACCTGCTGGGATGCCAGCATTACCCTGCAAAACAAATTCGTGATCACTTCAATTGAAAGAAGTTGAAGATCAATTATAACTTGAAGTAAAAGATGAACAATCGCTTGCATACCGTCCATCATCAATATCTCTTCCCTCTATTTTCAGCTCAACTTGCCTCAAGACTGACATAGCGTAAGCATTTTTACCTGCCAAAAGACACCATTAGCATCAGGGACGTCAAAACCAGAACAATTAAACCTCTCGCTCATATTAGATTTCACGCCCAAATACTCCTGTATTGATGCAAAACCAATACGGACAAGAAAGCTATAACATTTAAAAAAACTAACAATGATTATGAGAAAATGATCAAAATGATCCCTTGATTTTTTATGAAGGACCAAAATGATCCCAACTATATTAAATGATCATTTTAATCCCTCAAGTCTTTAAAAAGTGATCAAAATAGTACTATGGTGGGACTATTTTGATTTCTCTTTAAGGAGTTAAGGGATCAAAATTATGCTTTAATATAGTTGGACTATTTTGATCCTTTATAAAGATTCAAAAGACCATTTTGATATTTTTCTCCAATGATTATTGCTCTCCATATGTCATTAGAAGTGATTTCAACAATCAAACTACTGTTTATCCTATCATTTTCATCATCAACACCTTGAATATCCTTATCCCTACAATTTTTGGGCATCCTCATGTATCTCACTTTGCCATTCATTATTGTGTTACTGCTATACATCGTGCTAACCCAAGCTTGCATAATCTATTTATGTAGGTGTTCTATGACATGCCTACCTCCAAAACCATTTCTAAACTAAAACTTTATTTTATTATTGTATTTTTAATAATAATAATGCCATGGTTGTATTGAAAATCACATATCTAATTATTTGTGCTTACAATATAATGTTTTATTGACCCAATTAGGAAAGTATATATATTAGACTTGACTTATGCTAAGAAAGATAGAGGTAGACCTAAAAAGACATGGTTAGAAAATAATAGAAATGACGTTTCTTTATTAGATTTAAATGAGAATTTAACTTTAACATGGCACAATGGAGAAAATGATTCATGTAGCCGACCCCACATAGTAGTATGTTGTTGTTGTACTACAATATAATGTCTTATTGCAACAGATAACAAATGTAATTTTATGTATTTATGTAGGTGATCACAAAATATTTCTAACATTCCTAATCCCAAAATTAACCATCTGAGGCAAATGCAATTATGATTAAAAAAACGGTGGCAAATATTAATTACAAGGCTTTGATATCTTACCTCTTTTGCTCCATCCTAAAGGATTAGAACATATACGATCGTCCTGATTTTCTTCATGTCCCTTTAATGGGGATAAAAGGTATTGCTCCTCATTGCTACCTCGAGGCTTTGTACCATCAGACGTTCCCTCTCCCATGTTTGAGGCATGACAAGCACTGCCCACAACAGATCTTATCCTTTGATTACAGTGTACTAAGGCAGCAGAACTACTATCATTAACCTCAATATTAGTTCTTCCTGACACTTGTTTTTCATCAAATACACTCTCTTTCCTGCTATTATTGCTCTCACCAGAATTAGTAGCATAAGATGTTTTTTCCAGATGATAGAAGTTATCATCAGCATCATTTGAGGTAATGCTGCTTGTATATGAGCAGTCTGGCGGAGAAATCCATCCTTGATCATCTGAAGGAAATTCATGGAGTGGGATGTTGTCGTCAAGGAGAATGTCATCATCATTCCCAAAGATAACTTTGTCATTTAGATACGTGCCATCTGAATAATCTGGCCTTGACATGAAAAGTTCCTGAGATCTCACCACTTGACTTTCCCCAAGACCTTCCAATGCCTGTGAAGATAGGAGATTTACTAGTTAACCTTTCACTCAATGCAGTGCTAAAATGGATAGGTTGAGCAGACATACTAATGTGAAACAGACAAAAACTCAAAAATCGGGTGAGATTGCAATACATTAAAATTAAGACTAAAAATATTAGTTTTATTCATTGTAATCATCACAAAACCATCAAAATTAAACATGAATGTTGCTTCCTATAGTATCCTATGTTAAAGGCTGCATACAGACGAAACAGAACCAGCTTAAAATCAAGGCTGTCAAAAGTGCACTTTGAAGTGCAAATTTGAAACAAAGAGGAGCTGTAGCGCCTCCCTAGGCTGCAACAGTTTCTATTTATGTAAAGCATGCGGTTCATAGTACTATATGCAATGCAGAAGAGCATTCCATGTGCGATTGGCCTACAAATGAGAGTACAAGTGGGCAAAAGCACAGGTGCAATAAAACAACAGGAGGTGTGACGAGCAGATGCTGCATGGCATAAAGTGCGGATGCAGCTCAATACTATAAAGGAGGGACCAGGCTAGGGAAAGTTAGTGACATTGCACAGAAGTATGATCCAACCTTGACTTCACATGAGTGGTATTGCAGGGACAATAGTTATGCCGTTTGGCCTTAGTAATGCTCCTAGCACGTTCATGAGAGTTATGACTCAAGTTTTGCGACCGTTCTTAGGAAAATTCGTTGTGATATATTTTGATGACATCCTAATCTACAGTAGCTCGGTGGATCTTCACCTGAAACAAGTCTGTGAGGTTTTGAGGAAAGAACAATTGTATGCCAACCAAAAGAAGTGTATGTTCCTCACAAACCGTGTCACTTTTCTTGGATTTATCATATCCTCCCAAGGGATTTCCGCTTACCCTAAAAAAGTTCGAGCGATTAACGAGTGGCCTGAGCCTAAAAATATTAGAGATGTTCGGAGCTTTCCTAGATTGGCCACCTTCTATCGGAGGTTTATTAGAAATTTTAGCACAATTGTGACACCCATAACTGATTTTTTAAAGAAAGGAGAATTCCATTGGACTTCAACTGCCAACAAAGCATTCAAGGAAATTAAAAGAAAAATGATAGAAGCCCCAGTTATGCGTCTTCCTAATTTTTCCAAAGTTTTTGAAGTAACATGTGACGCATCAAGCTTAGGTATAGGTCTATAGGAGGAGTTTTATCGCAAGAAGGACAACCCGTTGCCTATTTCAGCGAAAAATTAAATGACATCCGACAGCGATACTCTACCTATGATAAGGAGTTCTATGCCATCATTCAATCCCTTAGGTATTGGAGACACTATTTATTGCCTCAAGAGTTTCTCATCTTTTTCGACCACAAAGCCATGCGTTACATAAATTCGTAAAACAAACTCAATGCACGTCATGGTCATTAGGTCGAATTCTTCCAAGAGTACACCTACACCATCCGAAACAAAGCCGGGGCTGAAAACAAAGCGGCTGATGCCCTTAGCCGTCGGATGATGATGACTCGTGAAATGAGAACTGAAGTGATTGGATTCGAGCGTCTTAAAGAAGACTATAAGGACTGCCCTAATTTTAGTGAGACCTATTCTCTTTTGACCACTGGACATGAGCGTACTATCAATGATTTCTTAGTGGAAGATGGATACCTATTTGAAGCCCAAAAGCTCTGTATTCCCCAAACGTCTCTTCACGAATACCTTGTATGGGAATTACATACTGGTGGTTTAGCTGGCCACTTCGGGCAATCAAAGACTATTGCCGTGCTAGAAAATCGATTCTATTGGTCCAGTCTTAAGCGTGACGTTAGCAAACTTTTAAGGAGATGTCACACCTGCCAGCTTGCCAAACAACGCAAGCAAAACATGGGACTCTACACTCCACTCCCCATGCCCAATTGCCCTTGGCAAGATGTAAGTATGGATTTCGTACTGGGATTACCCAAGATCGTTAGGACGCACGATTCTGTCTGTGTGGTAGTTGATCGGTTCTCGAAAATGACCCATTTCCTCCCATATTCTAAAACTTTTGATGCCTCCTGGGTCGCTAAGCTTTACTTTGATGAGATAGTTAGACTTCATGGTCTACCTAAAATCATCATTTCCGATAGAGATGTTAAGTTTACGAGTTATTTTTGGAAAACACTGTGGCACAGGATGGGTACAAAACTACAGTTTTTCACGGCCTTCCACCCCCATACCGATGGGCAAACCGAGGTTGTTAACAGAAGCTTAGGAAACCTCTTAAAGACTTTGGTAGGTGAAAATCTTAGAGACTGGGATTCTAAGTTACCCATCGCTGAATTTGCCTATAACAATTCTGTCAACCGAACCACGGGCCTGAGTCTGACTGAAATTATGTACGGATACCAACCTAAGCAACCTATAGATCTAATCCCCATGGGTCCTAAGTTTAGAATATATGAGTCTGCATCCGCATTTGAATCGCATTTACAAGAATTGCACAAAGACATTAATAAAAGAATTGAACTGAGCAATGCTAACTATAAACTCAATGCGGACCTCAAGAAAAGATTTAAAGAATTTGAAGTGGGAGATTCTGTGATGGTTCGGATTCATCCGGAGTGATTCCCGCAAGGGACCGTTAAAAAGTTACATGCGGGAAGCGCCGGACCTTTCAAAATAACTTCCAAGATAAACAATAATGCTTATGTTCTAGACCTTCTTGAAGGTTTTAACTTTAGCCCCACATTTAACATTGAAGATCTTATAGCCTATGAGTGTCCAGAGTTTAACCCCACCAATCTATTACATAATGAGCCTTATGTGACCCTACCTGGTGAGATCCCCAGCCTACCCCCACTCCCAAACATTTCCACTTTACCTACTGCGGAGAGGATTGAGGCAATACTTAGCGATGAAATCATTTCCACTAAAGACGGTGGTCGCCGAAGGTATCTGGTTCAATGGGCAGGAAAGACGGAGATGGAGAACGTGTGGATCGATCGGGATGAGCTGCAGTGATTGGACCCTGACCTACTAGAGTGGTACGAGACTTCTAGAGATACTCACTCGATGGGGTCGAGCTTTCTCCCACCTGGGGAGAATGATGAGGACATCAGATTTCGACACGTACCATCGCCGGAGACGCATATCGACGACTACGATCTAGATCCTTTATTTTTGATTTACTTGTATTTTATTTATGCTTGTATTTCTATTTTCCTAGTTTTCCCCTGTATGCATTGAGTCACTTATGTAGCTCTGAGGGCATTTGTGTCATTTTAGTTTTATTTTTATCTTGGCCTATTTAAAGGAGGCCTCATGCAATGTATAAGCTAATGTTGATGAATGAAATTTTCTATTATTGATCTTTTTGTGATTTCGTGAAACTTTCCAAGATCTCTTTGTAAGTTCTTCAGGAGGTGGTGCTTGTAGATCTCTTTGTGAGTTCTATTGGAGGTGGTGCTTGAGATTTGTAGCTCCAGATTTTCCCGATCTTCTAAACCTATCTTTCCCTTCTCTACCTAACCGAAATTTCCCTTCCACCCAACTTCCTCCACTGACCCCAGAATTCCACCGCCGGCCCTTCCTGGCCGATCCAGCCACCAGCGGCTCACCTAGCCCCCACGGCCGGCCACCAGCCCGCCAGCTCTCTCTCTCTCTCTCTCTCTCTCTCTCTCTCTCTCTCTCTCCCATTAATACACCTTTAACTCCCCCTCCATCCTAGCCTAATTTCATATTTCAAATTCTGAATTTGAAATTAACCTTCTCTTATTTGGAAAGCTGAAATTATATTCAGGCTTATTCCCTCCCTCCACCTCTTCCAAACGTTCCTAGCCTTCCTCACCCGAGCCCACACCCGTCCACTCTCACGGCCCTTCTCCTCCCTCTCCCTATAGCTCACGACCAAGCCCTCCTCTTCCCTTTGTTTCCATCGGTGCTCCTTCCTCTCCTGACAAGGATGCATGGCGGATCCGGAAGTTGATCACGGCTTCGCATACAATGAACAAGGGGAGATCGACATCTTCCTCTCCCCCTTCTACGAGCCGAATTGGAAGTACGACGTCACCGTGGAACGTTACGTCAATCACATAGTTTATTGCCTTGTCGGAACTATCGAGCTTCAACAACCAAGAACTCAGTGGACTCTTATCGGACGCCCACCCGCTTCCCCAACTCCAGCTTCCCCGGCAACTAGTCCTCTCGGCATCACTTGTGTGATAGTGGCGTATCTAAGTGTGCTTGCAATCCTCTTCCGCTAGCCTCCACTTTCAAGAGTTGAGTTAAGGATCTCTAGGTGAAGGATCTAGATTTTAAATTTGAGGCTTTAATATATTTGCTATTTGCATTACTTATTAATCTTTGATTGTTATTTTGTAAGTTCTAATAATCTCAAAGTGTAACATATTGCTATTGCTTAATCTCTCATGTTATCTTCTTAAACTTCCATTTGAGTAAACAAGAGTTTATTGGTAGTACGCAAAGTTATCACTTTTATTAATCTCTTAATTGCAATTCTTGTTATCGCATTTAGTTTCACATCATTTTGGATATAGGGTCATTCATTTATAAGTTTCCTAACACACGGGTCTTACTGCTTGGCTTAGAAGTAGCCTATGGGTTTGTAGTCGTTTGCTAGTTTGACACTAAACTATGGCTTTGACACTTACTTGCAAGCAATTGTTTTCTATTCTAGCTTTCAGTAGTATACTTGTTGTTTCGTGCTCGTAGCTTTTTCCTACTACAACAATTTGTTACTCTACTTTATCACTGTTATTTGTTTGTTTCTACCCGCTTTCAGTACTTTATTTTGTTTGCAGTAGTTAGATTTGCTTTTTTCAGCATTAATTTAATCTTATTTATTGATGCGCTAACTTTTGTCTATTTGCATGCAAGTGCTCGTATCTAGTAGATTAGAGAGCTCTCAGGTAACTGCAGGAGTCATTGTTGAGAGTCTAAGAATGTTTGAGTTTGTTTTGAGAGCTTCGGAGTTCTTTATTGAGTTGTTTGGAGAGCTCCTTGTTCTTGCTCAGAGAATTGTTAGAAAATTGCTTAGTTG